GAATAACATCTTGCACCTGCTTTCGATTAAGTTCAATAAGTGCAGTTTAATGCAGTGTAACTAAAATGGCGGAATATTTGAAAGCATGTTTTGTAATAATTAATATTAATATTAAATATTAACAAATACAACCTTATAACAATTAATATTTGTTGTATTAGAGAACACAGTATATTCAACCCCAGTAGAGGCAATAGAAAACTACCCCTACTTTTTTGGAATAATTTAAAAACTACCCTGTCGATTTTGGCTTCATTAAATACACTTATAGTACATTTAAGAATATTAATTATGTGTTTTTTCTCATTTAGGGGTGGCTGGGGTTAACTACCCTGACCACCCCAAATTTTTTTGTTGTTGCAAGTACTGCTTATCGATTTTGGTGCAATTTAGCATGTGAACAAAAACATTCTGCGATAATTTCATTTTCCACGAGTATTCCTTCAAATCTAAAGCTTTGTTCGTTGGGACTGCACTACTCTGCACGACATGGCACTCGTATGACGTCATAGTGCAATGAAGTGTAAGTCAGTGCAATGTCGTGTTAACTTAGTGTAGCTCAGAAAAGTGTATAAACCGTGGTCCCAACGAACAGATTTTTATAAAAAAAGTGTATAATAATTGAAATGGATGAACAGGCGATTGTCAGCGAAATACTCGTGGAAAATGAAATCATCGCAGAATGTTTTTTTAGTAGCGATTCATCAATTATTATTATATTACTATTATTATTTTTTTCAATTATTAGCGAAATATATTTTCTACGCCAAACTACTAACCCTTATAAGTTCTTTCAAAAGTACTACTTAACGTATAAAGAAAGCAGTACTTGCAAAAAAAAATTTTGGGTGGTAAGGGTAGTTAACCCCAGCCCCTAAATGAGAAAAAACAATTAATATTTTTAAATGTACTATAAGTGTATTTAATGCCGCCAAAATCGGCAGGGTAGTTTTTAAATTATTCCAAAAAAGTAGGGGTAGTTTTCTACTGCCTCTACTGGCATTGAATATACTGTGTTCTCTAATACAACAAATATTAATTAATAGCTTTGTTCGTTGGGACTGCACTACTTGCATGAAGCAGTTTAGTGCAGATGTTGTGTGTTCGTGGGGGATAGTGCAGTTTAGTGCAGCTGCACTCATACTGTTCGTTGGGCCATGCGTAGTGCAACTTCGTGCAGCCGGTGCAAGTTAGTGCAGATTTTGTTGCACCTGCTTTCGATTAAGTTCAATAAGCGCAGTGTAATTCAGTGTAACGAAAATGGCGGAATAATATTTGAAAGCGTGTTTTGTAATAATTAATATTCATATTAAATATTAAGAAATAAAACCTTATAATTAATATTTGTTGTATTAAAGAACACAGTACATTAAACCCCAGTAGAGGCAGTAGAAAATGGACAAGATAGTAGATAGATAAATGGACAACAGACTATAAATAAGATATTAATTTGTTTAATTTTTTAGGGTTATTATAAATTATTAGGCAAAGGAAGGATTCCAAATCAGCCCGTCATTGTTAAGGCCAAATTCTTCTCGAACTCTGCAGAAGATAAAATTAAAGCTGTTGTAATAAATTGTAATAAAATTATTATAAAAAGAGAAAATTATTACTATAAAGTTATATGTTTTTGACATTAACATAACCTTAACATATTATACACTTTTTTTTGATAAAAATCTGTTCGTTGCGACCACGGTTTATACACTTTTCTGACCTGCACTAAGTTGACATGACATTGCACTTACTTACACTTCATTGCACTATGACGTCATACGAGTGCCATGTCGTGCAGAGTAGTGCAGTCCCAACGAACAAAGCTATTATAAGGTTTTATTTCTTAATATTTAATATTAATTATTACAAAACACGCTTTCAAATATTCCGCCATTTTAGTTACACTGAATTACACTGCACTTATTGAACTTATTCAAAAGCAGGTGCAACAAAATCTGCACTAACTTGCACCCGCTGCACGAAATTGGACTGCGCATGACCCAACGAACAGTATTAATGCAACTGCACTAAACTACACTATCCCCAACGAACACACAACATCTGCACTAAACTGCTTAGTGCAAGTAGTGCAGTCCCAACGAACAAAGCTAGAACAAAATATTTTAAATGTAAATGTATGTAATAACACACTATGTAAGTTTGTAAGTGAACAAATCAACTATTCGGCACACATTTGAAGACAAGTTCTAAATTCTTTGCAAGAATTACGAATTTCCGCCAGTGGTAGAGATTCTATCGCATTAATTATTCTTAGTTTTAATAGTTTTGCATCTCCTTGTAATGGTTCACTGTAAACAATTTGTTTCAATCGTCCCCAAAAATAAAAATCCATAATTGTAAGATCAGGACTATGTGCTGGTCATAAAATGTGACCATTCGGTCACAATGAGTGATGGTGAGCTAGGCAACCGTCTCGCTGAAAGTACATTGACCATATAAAATTTAAGGGTAATTCATCAAGTTGTTCATTAAAATAATTTTGTAACATATCCAAATATTTCTGTTGATTTACATTTTCGTCGAAGAAATATGGCCTAATTACCCCGTGATTGTTTTGATGTTATAGCACACCACACATTTACTTTTTTGAAATGTTGACTTCTTCTAGAGAGTGTAGAATTTGGATTTAAATCAGTCTTCTATGGTTACATGTCATAAATTGAACGTTGAAAAATTTTTAGTTTAGAAAAAAAATTAAATTTTTACATAAAAATCGGAATAATTAGTTAACTTCTATAGTTAGAGTATAAAATTCGTGCGATTTAGGTCCATTACTACCATCTTTTAGTTAAATTTATCTTATAGATAAACCCATCTACTACCATCTTCTGGTTAAGCTATCTAAGGGATTATTACTACTGTTACGGCTATTTTACGCGCTCTGATTGGGTAGTAGATAGGTTTATCTATAAGATAAATTTAACTAAGAGATTGAACATTTTGTAACTCGATCCGGGGACATACTGTAGATGGAAAATATGCATGAAATCGTAAAAATAATGTAGTGCAGCACTTCTATTATACAATATGTGGTGTAGAATTATAAAAGACAGGTGCAGTTAACAAACCACTACAAAATGTAAACCGGTCGAAGCTCACAAGAAGAAATTGTTCATCCTAAACACTAAAGATTTATCATTAGATCACTGGGTAACCAGTTAGTATCCAGTTTGCCATATTTTTAGTGACCAGGTATCAGTTAACTGGTTACAGGATTTTAGTAGCCAGGTACTGGGTATTAAACTGTAAACTGACTGTCATGACGAGCTGAGTCTATATGTATGTGGCAAACTACTGGCACTATTTTTCTGAAAATTTGTATATAGCATTTATCCGAGGTGCTCGTTTCAGCTAAAATATTTTCAGATTTCACCGGTTATACCGGAAATGGACCCCAACTTTGTTATTTTAAATGGAATGTACCAATTTTTATTGAATTTTCGAGATCTCCGCTAAATTTTAATACAATTTGGTATAAATCATCATATGTCTAGAGTGCAGCATTTTTGAATTATTTTAGTTTTTTCGAAAACTTTGGCAGATGCAACCCTTCACAATAAAAATAATTTTTCGAAATTACACTCAAGTCCGATCAAATATTCTCAGGGTTTGTACAGAGAGGACCCATAGCTTACATAACCCTTGAAAAGTTCTTTAAAAAATTATACATGCTGGTCAGAAATTTGCGACGAATTTCCTTATCGCAAAAAGTCGTAAACTTAATTTTTTTAAATGGCAACCCCAATTTTTTCCTTCACTAGCACATTGTACGCTGAAAAATAAGAGAACTTTGTCATTACATCACACATTCTGTACCTTTCATAATAGAATAAAACTTATAACAGCAGAAGAGAAATAAAGGTACTATATTTAACAATATAAACGAAAATAAAAAAAAAAAACATGAATGAAACATTGATATAACTATAGTAAATGTTCGGACTGGTTGCCCTCAACTTCCAAACATTTATAAATTCTTTTTGAAAAGCCGGCGTAAGTGACACTCCGATTTTTTTCCGAAGAAAGAGATCGAAATGCATCACGAACTCTTTCAAGAACTAAACTTTTCAAGGGTTTTGTAAGCTACAGATCCTCTCTGTGCAAACACTGAGAATATTTGGCCGGACTCGAGTGTAATTTCGAAAAATTATTTTTATTGTGAAGAGTTGCATCTGCTAAAATTTTCGAGAAAACTGAAATAATTCAAAAATGGTGCACTCTAGACATATGATTACTTATATCAAATTGTATTAAAATTTTGCAGGGATCTCGAATATTCAATAAAAATTGGTACATTCCATTTAAAATAATGAAGTTGCGGTTCATTTCCGGTATAACCGGAAGTTGCAGAAAACTTTTGTATAAAAAACTCAAATTTTGAATAGGAATGAATTGAAGTCCAGTAAGGGAATGTTGTAGTGTAGGAATATCAGTTTCTCGCCGTTTAAAGATATTAGTCTATTCCTTTTGCTTTCAAATATGTTTCCTGCCTTCGAAAATAAGTTTTCTAAATATATAAAACTTCTGGTGTAGTTAAAAACTTCTTGGACATTGACACCAAAATAGGCTACATTTGACGATTATTTCTACTGACTCCAGATTAGTAGATTTTTTGTAGTAGCTGTTTGTGCGATTTCCTTAAAACAATCCCAAATTTTTTTGTTTTGGTTATTATAGTAGGAATTAATTTTGTCTGCAATATGCTTAAGAGTAAGTCATCGTCTTCACTTTCATTGAAATTTCTATTGTTTTATGTTACTTCATAACTGTTTCTATTTTCAGTGGTATCAATAATTTCAACTAGCTCATGGTGATCTTCTATAAAGCACATTCCTACTTCCAACATTTTACGTTTGATTCCTTTTCTTTGATCTCCTTCAAAAAAGTTTATTTTAATCTTGGATCAAGAAATGTGCTGACAAAAAATGTACCCGGTTTGTATCCGGTCCCAGATTTGTGCTTCCTACCTGGTACCCGACAATGTCAAAAATTGGTACCTGGTGCATCTCTAGATCCTACTAGCTGCAAGAGCTAAATATATCATTGTAGTATTGGAGCTGCTCAAATCTTTCTTCTAATGAATTTATAGCTATATCTAGGATGTAAAAAAGGAAATTTATCTTAAATGCTTGTTGTGGTTCAATTACTTTATCATCTCTACTTTCATAATTGAATTGGCTTTTTATTTTTCTTAGGTATATTCTTGTAGACTGTTGTGAAAACTAACTCCTCGAGCAAATTCGACTAAAATTTTTTCAAATCCTTTATCTAATTGTAATTCCTCAAAACATATTTTCAGTTTTGAAATCAAGTCTGTTGCTATTTATATATGGATTACCTTTTCCTGTAGGATTTTATTAACTAGGTTAATTGTGTACAATATCTGATACCAAATACCAATAGAGCAAATAAATTTGTAGCTCTTCATTTGTTTAGCTAAATTTGTCGGAGTATCTTTACCAAATGCATGAACCCTGTTGTCATTGGAGGTATCATATTATCGTCATGTGGAGCCCGGTTTATTCGTCAATTCCGCCGGCCTTGTTGGCTGCTAGTCTTGAGCACTTTGCTATTAGTATTATCCTTCACATTATAGTAAAAAAAAACTTGGATTTAAAGGTTGGTATGCTGTTAGAAAACCGTTCATAAGTAGGATTAATAAACGAAAACGGATTCCATTTGCAAAAAATGCCAAAATAAGGATTTTAACTTCTGTACAATGGTAATTTTCACAGATGAGTCCAAATTCAATATAAAAATATCAAATGGACAAGTAAGAATTTGGCGAGAGAGTAACGAGCCTATATACACATAATCTAATACCTACTCTAAAGTTTGAAATTTTCATTTCATTGAATATTGACTGCGAAGGGGTATCTAAACATTTCCAAAAAGAATTTGAAGCGAAATGCAGAAAAATTGAGATGTTTGCGAGACTTTGGATCAAACTGTCCAAAGTACCTCAAACCAATTAAATCAACTCAATTAACCACTAAACTAGTGGAATCGATGCCGAGACGTCTAAGTGCTGTTCTTAATCAGAAAAGATATCCAACAAAGTATTAATATTATTCTAAATGTATAATTTTCTTCGTTTTTTTTAATGTTTGTACTTTACGAATACGGTTTTTGTTATCAACTGAGATTAAAATGCCCTTTAGCATTCAGTACTCTAACTGCCTAAATAACCAGCATAAGCAGTCTACTTTTGCTTTTACTTTTATAAGTGAAATAATTTCTTTTTTTTTACTAATTTTCTTAAGTATTGTGATTTTCTAATTTTACGATGGTTGTACGAATACGGATTTTGCATATTGTAAGTGAAAAAATAGGATTTAAATTGATTTGTTTTTATTTTCAAATTTAGAAATCACAATATCGATAGAGTTCCGAAAGGATTTCGATTTGGAAAAAGGAGCGAAAGACCACTTTACAGCGTTCCGGAGTTATTAAGAGATAAAGAGGTGGTACCAAGTGATTTTCGCCGGCAATTATTAAAATGGTTGGAAAAAATTAATAAATTGAGGAATAATTTGCAAAAACAAAAGGGAAATATTAATTTGGATGAATTACGAAGAAGGTTTTTGTATTTTGATAAGGTTTAAAATCAATTTTTACATATTTAAAAAAACATTAAAACATATTGTAGTATTTTACTTAGGGCACAAAATTCTTCTCCTTGCCGACAACTCTCCACGTATGGCTTATTTTTGTTTCATAACTTAGAAAAACTGATAACGGGATTCGACAAACGCAATTATTTGATATATTTTAGTTAAAATCGCGTTGAAATCCACCCAGCCGTTTTATACTAAACCGCGATTTTCTGCCAAACTATATGTAATATCGAAAAAATGAAATATGCCCCTCATTAAGAACATACTTGTATTAGGCTATCACCTGTTCAAAATTGAAATTCTTTGGTCGGATAGTTTTGAGAAAAAAATGGACAAAGTTGCCGGCACCGTCAAATATTGGGTATTCATTTAACTCGCGGTTTTACGAAAACCGCGGGGAAAAAAATTTGAAATTCACAAATATAAAGTAGGAATGTTTAGTGATTACAATAAATCTTACCGCAATGTTTTTCATCGCACGGTTCTTGATACATTTATAACAGAGGTTGTTATTCATCCTCACGGGATCAAAAAGTGCGTACGTTATATCAGGGAGCACGTTATAATAGAATATCATTTGGAGTAGGTATGGTTAAATGAATAAATTCGTGTATTCTAATTGTATTCCAAGCTTGCACCACCATTCGAATGGAATGCAATAAAGATAATATAAGTTTTTCCGCATCATCCGACGCTTTAAGATGGACGTAATAGTTGTAATAGTGTAAAATAATGTTTGACATTTTTCAAATGTAGCAACTTTTGGTGAGCAGCGCAGTTCCAAAATCCCACAACGAAAGTTGTCTTTGTAAAATAGTTGCTGTCATACATGAACCCTTATTAGGTGCATATATGACCGGCAGCTTTTTAATGTTTTTCATACATCGGAGATTTTCGTGTCTTCCAATAATAAGCAGTTTACGTTTTTCAGTGTCACTTAAACTTGCACACACAAAAACGGTTAGGCGTAATTTTAATTATTCACCTTCTACTACTTTTCCACCATTCAATTTGAAAATACGACCCGAAGTAAGTTTATAAAAAATTCCATTAAAAATATCATCATCATCATCGCTGTAGTTTCTTCTTAATTCAGCCCAAACATGTTTTAACCTAGTAGAAACGATATAAAACGACGTCTTTATTAACTTCAGCTGATATTCAGCAACTTAAATCTTTCCAACAATCCTGTAGTAGAGTAGTCCCCACACTTTTTGTCTCGTGGACCACTTGTCATGTCTTTCGGTTTTGCGTAGACCCTTCTTTAGTTAATATTGCATTTTTGCAAATTCATCAACTTCAAATGTGTTTTTGACTGATTTCTAACTGTAGTAAGGTATAGAGCGAAAAACTCACGTTAAGTTTTATATAATTATCAATGAAATTCAAATTAAACGAAACCAAAATAAAATTTAGTATTTACTACTGAGTAATAATTACATAAAATCATTAAGCAAAAATAAATGCTTTTTAGTGAGAAGGATGAATCTGATGCTTTGATAATAAAATTCCAATATTTGTTATCAATTTAGGGCAGAGAAACCAGTTATGGCCACATTTAGTACTCTTCAATTCTTCTTATGTTGCATATAGGCACCTTCCATTTTATTTGCGTGTCAAGTATTTTAAAACACAAAAAATAATTTTCAAAAGTAAATCAATTTCTCCATTTATGGCCACCATTTATGTTATGGCGATAAAAGTTTCCACTGATGGCCACCATAATTTATTTGCGTGGAAATCAACCGCAATAAAGTATAATTTTTAGATTTTATTAGGCACATAGATACAACAAAAGTTAAGGAGATGAATACATTTATTGTTTTTCACATACATCTAAAGCACTAGGACCAACATTTTTCAGTTCGGGTTCTGGAAGCGTTCCAAGGATTTCTTCGTTTGTAATGGCACATTTGCCATTATCTAACACTTTGAAATGTGTCTTACAATTAGTATGATCTAAGCTTTTTAGACATTGTACTTCAAACTCATCATCATCCAACACGCACAAAATTTTTACAACACACTCCTGCAGCGCTGCAACTCCAGACATATCAAACTACATCATCTAAGCTGCTCCCGCTTTCATTCCACTCTTCTTCCTCCTCTTCTTCTTCTAAACAGTTTTCCTTTGTCTTCTTCATCTTCTTTGCCTTCTGCGCTTCCTCTACTTTATTTTTCTGCATTACCCTTTTCTTCTTTCTCTCCATTTTTATCTCTTATGGAATTTTCTTCTCTTTCTCTTTGAGTTCAAAATATTCCACCCATTTGTCAGACGTAACAACGCATGGAGTATATTCTTTTTTCCTTTTTCGTACTGTCGGTTTATGGTGTGGTCAAGGAACGACATCACTGAGGCAAGAGACCGTTTAGGCGTGGTAAGTATATTCGACGTTGATGGATCAACACTTTCAGCTTTGCTGTTGAAGTACAAATCCTGTAATTGTTGAGCAACAGCTTCATTCTCTTTTTCGGAGGATAAGCCTTCTAGTTGACGAGGCAATCATACTTGGGAGTTTGAAATTTGGGGTGTTTGCACCTCAGTGACTATTTCATTAGAAGCTTCGAATTCTTGCATCACCTCTATTTCCGAAACTAGATTATTCAGTATGGTTGGTAATGTTTCTAGAAGGAGTGCAGGTACCTGAATGGGAGGCTCGGGGTGGAACAAACTTTCTCTTTATCCGAATTTGTAGATTTATTGTAAACGTTTTGTCCTCTTGGCCTGATAATGAGTCGTCCTTTTGGCAAGTCTCATCCATATTAAAGACGCGCTCTGGATCCCTTATTGCTACAATTTCTTCTTCTGTGAGCAAAATTTCAACTTCCTTAAACCAGTTCCGTATTTTTTCCTCAGTAACTTGCCTTGTTGACATATTCAACATGCTTCTGGGTGTCTATTTAGGAAAGAAGTAAACCACTTTTTGCCGGGCTTATTGTTGGAAAATGGAGTTTTCAAAATCCATTAAAGTATCAAATTTAATAGAATGGTCATAACTGGCAAACTTCACAAAATTCGCTCTACTTATGGCCACGTTAACAAAACTACGCTTAACCTCAATTTATAGTTATATTATTAAATACTTTGACACTAACGTGTATGTGATCACATAGTTCATAAGATTAAATATGAAACGACGCTAAAGACAATAAAAGATTAAATGTGCATTGTTCTTACCGTTTTTGCTAAGATTTTCGAGGACAGCACATCAGCTAAAACATGGAAACCATTTTCAAATTGTTTCTATATTGGAAACGTCATCTAACACCGTCTGTGATGAATTAGGGTCTGACAAAGCCCTGTAATGCACTTACTTTTCAACTACTGTCTATTAGGATCTTAATGCGCAACGACTTCCTCTGAAATGGCCATAAATGGTACAGTGGCCATAAACGGTGCCCCTACCTTAGTTAGGTTTAATCTTAAATCTCTTCGGTTATTGATGTTGTTTTTTTTTTTGTTAGACGATTGGCAAATGCACTGAAATCTTTCTCCACTAGGTATGACGATGGAAAAGCAATTAAAAGCTATCATGATCCATAATATGGGATAAGTAACAGGAATATCTTTTTGAAGCCAGAATATGTAGTTGAAGTCCGTTTCTAAACAGTACTTTAAGTCCTTCATTAGGGCTTATTCCAACCAGTTCCTCTTGTAATATGACATCTGGGCCATTAGGCTATCACTTTGTTACTGTAAGTTAACCTTGAAATTTACTAAACAAATCTGTTAAGTATACAATGTCTGGTTTTCGTTTTATTAAGTACCTAAATTGAAGAGATTCATGCAATCTACCACTCAAATTTTTAGCAACTAAATATTTTTGACGGATAACACAGTGTATTACTAACATCCCGGCTACATTTTGTTTTAAAAGCTCCATATCTTGCTACTGATATAGTTCATAAAGTGTGTCGGTTGTCTAAGTTCTCGCAAACAGTAATTCTTCTTGGATTTTTTGATTCATAATAAAACGAACAATAAGGTGAGGTTGACTCGTCCAGCTGTATAGTCAAATAGGTCGTTTGCAAATAATTACACAAGGAGCTTTCAAGTTCATAACTCGTTTCATCAATACGCCTTTGAACTGTGTTGTTGCTTAAAGAAATCCTTTTAATGATACCAGATGCAGATTTGTGTAAAACAGTTCTAACAAATTAAAACTTCGTCACTGGAAAAATCTACTTTTTTCCGATAGTTATGGTTTTCCGGATTTTGGTATAAGTAGCGAGATATTGTAAGTCGCCCGCAAGCCATCATCATCTCTTTGTGATGTTGAAGCGAATATTTTGTTCACTCTGGATCTCTTCTGAACTTTTCGCTTAAAACTTAAAAGTTTGGAAAATTGCGTCTTTAAATACGGACCACTCACTGACACATTTAAATTTCTTTCAGCTTGAAACCACATTAATAAAGCAATATTAAATTATATACGTTATATTCGATTGAACGTTATAACCGGCGTACGTAATAAACGTCCTCTGTATATCGATGTTTAAACTGATGAGAATTGACTTTTAAAATTATACCAAGAAATACTTATCCCGAGTTTATTTTAGGACTGAACCGGCCTTTAATTTGAAGAATCTTGAAATTAATATTTTTTAGGAAAAAACTGGATGGCTTCCGGTTGATATTCTTTATAAAATATGTTTATGCCAACATATCACATTTGATCAAGAATCTGTATATAACCTTTTAAAATATTTTGGAATTATGCAAGAAGATAATGTTGATTATAATGCTTTTGTTAAATTAATCGATGTTAATGTAGAGTTTCCTAGACTCAGAAAAATTGATGGTTTAACTTTAATAACATTGAACGAAAAAAATTTGTGATTAATTTTATTTTTTAGATATTCCACAAAGAAATATCCGTTTCGTTTCGACTTATATGGGATCAGGATGTGATTATTTAGAAATTGATAACTCTGGTAAAAAATGAATCATTTTAAAAACTTAAAAATAATTTTAATAAAAAAATGTTGTTAATGACTTTAGTTAAGCCACCAGCAGGAGTTGCAACTATAAGAATGGATTTGGATCACCCTACGGTTCCACCTGGTCAATCTAAAGCCGATTTAGACAATTTAGGTGATGAAACGATTGCGGAAACTGTAATAAACCCGAATATTTATACAAATTATGGATTGAATCATCGAGATTTCTTTCTAGTATGTTAAAAAAATTAAAAATATTAACCCCTTGGCCTACGCGCTATCTCCTCACGCGTTGAGCCATTTAGTTTTTCAGTAGTATTGAGCTAAATTTGCGAAAACGTTTTCGCCTATGGCATAAATTCATTTTGAGTCTCACCACGTTCTGGGCCAAAGGGTTAATAAGAATAAATTAATTAGCCATGTCGGTCTTGTATTTGTATCAATGAATCTAATTTCAGTTTAAAAAACTGTAAATTTGGTTGTATAAAAAATTTATTTTGTTTTAGCCAAGACAACCTGAATATTTGAAAGATCTTTTTGAAAAAGTCGGTTATCAATTTCCAGATGATACTTTTGAAAAGCTTTGGAATTACGGCGTAAATCTTGACAGAACTGGTTTGGTTTGTATTGATACTTTTGATAAATTGTTGGCGGCCACAATACCACCTCCAATTTTTAAAAAAGACGAAGAAAATGTTTGTTAAAAAGAAGGAATCGCATAATGAGACAAATTTACCAAAATATAAAGTGCTTAAAAAATTTATTTACACAAATTAATTCTTAAATAAAAGAAAAACACTTACATTCATGGTATTCTTATCCTTTAATCTATTAATGTCGATTTCTTCTCGATTCTTGACGACGATTTTCATCTCTATATCTTTTATCATCCTTTTCATCTCGATGTTTTTGTTTATCTTTTTCATCTCTGTATCGCTTGTCATAATTTTCATCTCTTCTTGGATTTCGTTCATTTCTAGTTGTGTTACGTTCATCTTTTTCGCCTTTTCGATATCTTTCTTCTTTTCGATTTCGGTCATCTCTTCTCCTATCTTCATAAGCTCGTTCTTTTTCATTCCTAGAGATTTGTTTTTCTTTAAAATCTCTTCTTTCAAAACTTCTATCACGATTAAATTCTTCGCGAGTTGGTCTTTTTGATTCAAATGATTTCTCAAATCTTTCACTTTTCTCCTTTGAATTCATTTTTTTTCGTTCTTCATTCTTATCAATATTTTTTTTCTCATTTAACACTTTCACTTTTGATGCCATTTCTTTATTTTTATCTTTTGATTTGTTATTTATAGCTTTTTCATTAAGTTTTTGTTTGGATTTCTTTTTGTTTTTATTTTTTTCATCCTCAGATGATGATGAATCGCTATCATCAGAGTCGCTTGATGAAGAACTTGAACTTGAATCAGATGAACTCGAACTGGAAGACGAGTTAGAACTTTCTTCTTCTTCTTTAATGGGTAAGTCAACGTTTTTTGGTACATTTTTTAAATGTTCTCTTAATTCATCTGTAAGTCCACCCAAACCAATTGATGTAAAGAAATTTATTGAGAATCGGGTGTTTTTTGGGTTATCTCTTGGAAATAAACCACAAAAATGTTCCTGCATGGTACTAAAATAGAAAAGAATATTAAAAAAAATTCATTAATTTAAAATTGAAAAAACTTACGTATCTTTTAATCTTCCATTTAATTTTCCTAACCCCATATATTCAGCAAGTTCTTGAAATAAAATTTTAATAAAAATCCTGCTGGAACTATTTGTGTCAACTTCGTTCAACTTCATAATTTCCAATACTTCCCATCCAATGGCATCCGTAAAGAGTAAATGGGCGAAAAATTTGCTCACATTTCGTAATTTATTTGCATCTAATCTGTGAGTTGTTGCATAGGTGTCTTTAAAAATTTGCTCAAATGGTGGAACATAAACTTTGTTGATTTGGCAGAAACGTTGAGCAAGCAATCCGTAAAATTTTTCATAAGTACGCTGTTCAGCACAACAATCTAAAAAAAAAATATTGAAAATAAATGATTGTAATTAAACGTTAGTGCTGCTCATGTGAAAACCCATGTGATAATGTTCAAGAGATGAGATCGACGGGAACGGGAATTATAAAAAAGAATCGCTGCGGTGTGTATTATACTTGCCATTAATCACTAGTTTGGAATTGGCTTCTTAATTGGAAAGGATCCAACAAACTCGTGTTAGATTTCAGGCCAATTAACGAAATAATGTGTTACCTTAGGTTAAAAGGTTTTGTTTTTAACAGCGTGATCAACGAACATGCACCTAGATACTATGATAACCTAGATTTCTACCAATTTCTAATTTTTTACCAACTATAGTCTTGAAAGTGTAATGATAATAGTGTAAGAGTAATAAATTTCCGCATAAAGGGACCTGGAAATCCCCCGACAATGGTACTGTTAACCAGATTGATCAAGTCCTCATAGAAGCCCGACTTACCTCAAACCTTAGATATGCAAAGCCACTGTGGCCCAAATATAGATAAGTAGCAGTCAGGGTTCGACTGATTTAAATCAATTGATTTATTTATTTTAATCAATGATTTAAATCAAAAACAAAATTGAAAATAAAACTGCACTTTATTACCTACAAAATTAACAAAACATTTAATACGAAAATTAACATTAATTACAATATTGATAGAAGAAAACAAGTTTTCCTGCCTTTTCAACACCTAACTTGTTTCGTAAACTAGAGATATTCTCTCAACAGAAGCTGATGAACAAATTGCACATAAAAATTGCTTTAATATTGGCATTAACTTCTCTACTTCAGCAATGTGTTTTTGTGACACTCACCATTGTAAAACACTTACAATACTTAAGACTTCCTCTGAAAACATTACTGATGAAAATGGTTCCATTTTTGCTTGTAGTTTTGGTAACATTTAAAATATAATTTTCAAAACACCGTAACCCCTAACGGTTTTCCAGAAAAAAAATCATTCTTATAAACCGCGGATGAAACTTTAGGGGTGCATTTGACCCCGATGGGCACTTCTGAAATTGATGAATTTTTAAGATGATTTAGAGGATGCCTTTAGCGATTCAAATCGACCATCAAAACACCGTAACCCTTGACGGTTTTCGAGAAAAAAAATTTGTTGTTATGTTCTATACGTACAATTGTGAATTTAATGAAACTTTAGAATGATTTGGAAGGTGGGTTTTTGATAGAAAAAAAAACTTTTGATGGAGAAACAAATTGATTATATCAATTGTCTGTATTGCATATAACAAAATTATGTAACGAATGGAGAATACTATAGTTACTTGCTACCGCGTTCCACACCGATTTCAACCACGAGTGTGAAGTTGGCCATAGATTTTAAACTGAAAAAAATGCCTGATCGGGGTTTTTAATCGATCTAATTTCAACGGCATCGTATTCCTGGTGGCCTCTTGCTTCAAATTCGAAAAGAAAATTTTCCTAACCATTTCTTATTTTCCGGGAAAATCGATGTTCTTCAAACTTTCGCAAAATTCGGCTCGTTCGGGGTTTTAATCGATCTAATTTCAACGGCATCGTATTCCTGGTGCACTTTTACTTCAGATTCAAAAAGAAAATTTTCCTAACCATTTCTTATATTCCTGGAAAATCGTTTTTCTTCAAACAATTGGGTTAGAAAAATTTTATTTTCGAATCTGAAGCAAGAGGCGACCAGAAATACGATGCCGTTGAAATAAAATCGATTAGAAACCCCGAACAGGCCGAAATTTGCGAATGTTTGAAGAAAATCGGTTTTTCCGGAAAATAGGAAATGGTTAGGAACATTTTCTTTTTGCATCTGAAGCAAAAGGCCACCAGGAATACGATGCCNAGATCAATTAGAAACCCCGAACAAGCCAAAATTTGCGAATGTTTGAAGAATATCGGTTTTTCCGGAAAATAGGAAATGATTAGGAACATTTTCTGTTCCAATTTAAAGCAAGAGGCGACCAGGAATACGATGCCGTTGAAATGAGATCGATTAGAAACCCCGAACCGAATCGGCCGAAATTTGCGAATGTTTGAAGAAAATCGATTTTCTCGGCATATAAGGAATGGTTAGAAAATGTTCTTTTCGAATCTGCAGCAAGAAGCGACCAGGAATGTAATGCCGTTGAAATGGGATCGATTAGAAACCCCGAACAGTCCGACATTTGCTTATCTTTGAAGAAAATCAATTTTTCCGGAATATAGGAAATGGTTAGGAAAATTTTCTTTTCGAATCTGAAACAAGAGGCCACCAGAAATACGATGCCGTTGAAATTAGATCGATTAAAAACCCCGAACGAGCTGAATTTTGCGAAAGTTTGAAGAAAATCGATTTTCCCGGATAATAAGAAATGGTTAGGAAAATTTTCTTTTCGAATTTGAAGCAAGAGGCCACCAGGAATACGACGCCGTTGAAATTAGATCGATTAAGAACCCCGAACGAGCCGAATTTTGCGAAAGTTTGAAGAAAATCGATTTTCCTGGAAAATAAGAAATGGTTAGGAAAATTTTCTTTTCGAATCTGAAACAAGAGGCGACCTTGAATACGATGCCGTTGAAATTAGATCGATTGAATACCCCGATCACGCATTTTTTTCAGTTTAAAATCTATGGCCAACTTCACACGCGTATTTCAACCCTTGCTCATTTAAGTGAATTCCCCGTGTAGAAATTTGTACTAAATACATAAAAAACGTTACGTTCACAGATTCGAAGTTTTTGCTGGGAGGAATTGTGGATATTTGTCCTTAAATAATAATCCTTTAGGATTTAAGGAAAGAAGGAAGCGAAAGAGGAAATATTTTCCGTTATTTTTCCGTTTTGATTGTTCACAAAAGATGAGAACAAATTTTTTATTAGCTTTTTTTGTATTTAGCGGTTACCACACTTTACCATCTGAGCGCGATTATTGGTCAGACGACGACGATTTGGGAAAACCTGTTATGAGGGAAATGCCTATCTTCAAGTAAGGTCTTACAATACATTTTCAAAATAATGCCGAAGCTAATGAAAGTAAGGGCGATAAATTGTTTAAGATTAGACGGTTGTTAGGTATAGCAAATGCAAGTTTTCAAATTTTTTTAAAATTTATTTCTTAAGAAAATCTGTCCATAAATGAAATGATTGTAAGGTATTACGATCACAACTATTTCAAAGTTCATAAAGGGTAAGCAAATACGATTTGGTTAAAAGCACTGGGCACTTTGTGGCGAAGATGGATATTGCTGTTTCTTTTACTAATTAATTGATATAGTCCAAAAAACTGTTGCTTATACCTTTATAATTTTTATAGCAATCATGCCTTATTTCGTCAATTAAAAGAAATGCAAGTACGTTTAACAGGTACTATCAGCGAAAATAGGAAAATGCAAAATGTCTGTTGCGACCAACCAAATAGAGTTCCTTCCAGATAAATATTCTATGATCAAAGATTTGATAGCGAAAACGAAATATTGCTGGTAAAATGGAATGATAGCAAATGTGTTTGTATGGCCACAAATTTTCATACTATAAAACCAGTAGCATCCGTTGCAAGATAAGTAGAGTACAAAAATTAAAAGTGTAAGTTGCTCAACCAAGACTGATTCACTATTATAATTCATACATGGTTGGGGTAGACCATCATGATTGGCTCATAGAAAGCATTTTATAGGAATAAGGGGTAAGAAATGGTACTGGTGTATATTCACAATGATAATTGATACGACTGTTGTAAACTCCTTCTTGCTATATAGAAGAATTCATGGAAAGAAGTCAATTTCCATCAAAGATTTTAGGAGACAGATCGCAGTAATACATTTAAAAATTGGTCACAAAACAAATGCTTTGAAGAGTAGATCACTCAGCGTTCCATCTACCTCAAAATCCAAAACTTCGATTTGCATTATGTGTTTTAGCGTGTTTCATTACAAAACCACTAAATCATCCTAAAATGTCATCCATTTCAGAGGTGCCCATCGGGGTCAAATTCACCCCCAAAGTCCGCGTCGCGCTATATATGTATGGAATCTAATAACACATTCTTTTTTTCTCGAAAACCGTTAACACGTTCATTGCCAAGTAGAAAATTGAAATTTCGTGGGGTGGCCAAATCCTTTTTTTCTTAGTTTTTTTTCACGTGATATCGTGTGATCGGCCTTTTGGTGAGAATTCGCGAGTTTATATTTCAAACAGGATTTTTTTTTTTCCAAATGATTTGATAATTTTTTGAAGATTTCATTCGATCAAAGTAGTCCAACTTAATTTTTTACATGGATATATTAATAAAAATTATTTATTTAAACCTTAGCTACAATTTGCAATTTTAATTACAATTTGCTGAAGAATGAAATGAGAAATCATCAATGGTTCTTCAGCTATACCTAAAAACTAAGCAAACAAACATCAAGATAAGGAAAAAATATAAAAGGTCATAAAAAAAAAGTTTGGGCCAAACCTTTTGGAGGTTTTACAAAATGCGCGATTTCAATTTACACAGTTTTCTGCGGAATCTATTTTCCATGTAAATAAGGGATAGCTGTATTGTATACCAAAGGGAAGAAAAAATACAGCATTGGATGGATGGTGTCAAGAATGACCTTAAGACCCTGAAGAAGTCTAGATGGTGGGAAACCTTAGAGACTGGGTAGAATGGAAGACTGATCCACAATGAATTTTCAAGCATATGATGATTAAAAGTTACTATTTACCTAAAAACATGTGACATAATTCAATTTCCTGTCCAGGTTTTAATTCCATTTTCATTAATTTATGAGCACATTCTTCAAAATCTAAACTCGATTGAATTGTTAAATAAATTGTTCTTCTCAATGTAATTAAATTCGTCTCGGTGTTATCAATAATAGTACTATCTTTATTTTCCTCATCTTCTCCCTCTTCTTCACCATCTTCATCACTTCCTTCTTCACCATCACTTCCAGATCCTTCAGACTCACTATCGCTATCCAATATTTCTTTACTCAAAGTCTTGTATTTTCCTTCATTTTCCTCATATTTATCATCAAATTTAAATACATTTAAGACATCCTCGGCGTTTGTAGCTTTTACATCATCCAAAGTAATTAAATGAGTAAATTGTTCTTCTTCATCAACAATATCAAGTTCTTCAATAATAGCTGCATGATCTTTAAAGCCATCTTTTCGGATTTGAAACATAACCTCAATCATGTATTGGATTCGTTTCTCTAATCTTCCTTCGTGAAGAATATTTCTTAACATCTCAAAAATTGCGTTTATCCCTTTACTTGAGACTTCACTTAATTTTTGTCCTGATTCTTTAAGGAATGAAATTGCAACCTCTACAGAATCATCAGTTGGTGATTCAACGAGTAAAGTTAATATTTCTAATGCTAAAATTTCATGTGCAACTCGTTGGTTAACTAGATGAGCTATAAAAGTCGCCCCTGATATACATCCAAGTTTATTGTTTTGTTTAAAACCTCTTTTAAATTGTAGTACAAGTCGTTTTAAAAGTAATTCCCCAATGCTTGGAAACTTTGAGTTGATTACAGCTACTAAGGCAGCGTAAACATTTGTGAATGTTGGTGAAGCTGCTTGTGCTTGAATTAATGATTTACATAATAATCCACGACCTCTTACAATGTTCTCATGCAATAATTCCCTTGCAATTATACCGATATTAGAAGTGTTTATTTTGTTAATGTAACCATGAATACTTTTTTTTAAAGCTTCCCAAGCGATACGCTGATAAGCAGCAGATGATTTATCGGTTATTTCAGCTTGCATCATTCGTAATTTAGCTGGAGGAATGTAAGCTCCACCAGTTTTAGAAGTTAATAAGTCCACAGTTTTTCTTTGACGTGGTGTAATAATTGATTTATCTTTAATTTCTTCTTCTTCCGCTTTTTCATCCTTTTTATCATGGTAATATCGTTTACCAACAACATTTGCATCTCGATATTCTTCTTCACCATAATAACGTTGCGGATATTCATCATCAGGTCTATCCAAATCAACGTACCTTTTCCTCGGTGGTCTTTCCCTTGATCTCGATCTTCTATCTCTTCTCGAACGCTTACTTCTGTAATCTTTATTACGTGAATCTGATGACGGTTGTTCTTTACGCTTATTCGATTTATTCTCGGGTGATTTCGACTTAGAACGTTTACGTTCTGGGGAATCTGTTACACTAGTCATTATTAATCACTATTTTACTCAAAAAATCAAGCTTGAAACGTTGACGCATAAACATAACCTCACAACAAAACAGTTTAGTTGACAATAGATGGCGCTAACGGAATAATAAAAATGGCGGCGAATTTGAAATTTTTACTTAAACTCGAAATTTATTTAAAGGATAAGAACGGTTTTTACAAAAATAATTATTAATAACTATAAGATCAAATTAAGATAACGCGTTTTGAATCCTTCTTGCATGTCTACTTTTTGAAGCAACAAGCGCTTTTTCTAATTCTTCTGTAACATGTAATAAATTGGTTAAATTACTTTGCAAATATATGTTTTCTTTTATCGTTTCATTTATAGCGCTTTTTTCTGTCGTTAAAGTAAGATTCATGGCAACAAGGGGTTGGCACTGATGTAATAAGGATCTCGATGCAACTTGAACCTCAAATCTCCAATCCAAATTATTATAATGTGGCTCGTGGAAAGACGTCTTTTTTAGGGCTTCCAAAATCACGTCGTTTTTCGTTTCATAAAAAGAGCTTAGAACAGACTGTTGTTCTTCAGTGAATCCAATTGTGAGAATACAATCACGAAAATCTGACTCATTTAACTAAAAATCAACAAACAAGATAATTCAGCATTAAGAAATATACAAATTTTGTGTTTACTTTATGTTTACAACTAATTACAAGCAAATACACCAAGGAATAAACACAATTTTGAACATCTTCCATTTCCCAATTTAACTTTTTTGCTGCAGTATTATAAAGCTTCGTATTCGGTCCATTTTGAAGAAAATCGATAGCGATTTTACAAAAATCAGTAACGACTAAAAAATAATTAATTTCTTCTATATACTACTTAACAAGTACTTAAAAAGAAGTTAAATAAAGCATACCTTGAGTTGTTTCATTTGACAACTGTTTTAGATGCTGCCGATGATCGTTTCTTAATGAAATTAACATCTTTAGTATTAAAACAACGTATATTAACCGTAAGAACCAAAAATAATAGCGAAAATGAGTAAAAATGTAAAAAACAGGGATATAAGTGACAGATAATGACAGTTTGTTAACCTCAAAATTATCAACAAAATAATCAATTATTGTATACTTAGTAATATTACGAATAAAATGTATTTTCCAAAAACAATAACCTAAATAATTACAAAAATGTTCAAACCTATAATTAAAACATTATTATATTTGAATAATTTTTGATTACTTAATTTTGAGCGCCATCTTTTGAAGAAGCCACAAATTAATTTAAACGTCAAATGTCAAAACAAACCATAAATTAATACCTTACAAAAATCGCTTTTATTACTCAATAATTAATTAAAAAAATGTCAGAACAAACGCAACAGTATGTACAAGAATCGCCGGAAGCGACGTCAGTTTCGAATTCGGAAGGTTCGAAAGTAACTCAAGTAAACCAATCGCAACATCATAAGCCGAACTCGCAGTCGAGACAATCTAATCTCCAAAGGATACACGAAAAGAAGCAATTGGTTCTAAATTTACCCCCCGTTAAAAAACTAATTAAGCTAGCGGTTCACTCTAAATGCCAAGAGGAAAATTGCGATTGTTCTGGTTGGAAACGAGTAGATTCAACGCCTCAGGTTGTTTCTTTTACTGACCCTTGTAAATGTGAACATTCTTTAGAGTCACATATTTCACATTTAAGAACTAAAAATGAGAATGATATAAATAAATTGTTGGGAATGATGGTTGATGTTGAAAATGTTTACACTGCTATGAGTCAAGAGGAGGATACAGATATTAAGAAGATTTATGGGTATTTATTTAGGGTAAGTCTAAAAATTAAAATAAAGGGAAAATAAGGAAATGATTAATCTTTATTTCTTTTTTGTAGTTGTTAAGAAAATGTATATTATCCTTTGAAACTCCTGTAATTGAGGGACCTTTGGGACAACCACCATTTGAAAAGCCATCAATAAACAAAGCTGTAAATAATTTATTAATGTATAAATTTCCTCATTTAACTCAACAAGAATGGAAAACCATGTGTGAATTAGCTAAAATATTTTTGCATTGTATGAATAATTGGGATTTTCCACCTCCAAATAGTTATAAATTGGTTGTTAGTCAAGAAGAAGCTACAATTTATAAAATAGCTCATACAAGGTATTTAAATTTGATAAAAGAAGTAGAATCTCGATATAACGGACTACAAATATAACATACAAAATATTTTTAAGTCTATTTTGAAGTATATTATCTATTTTAGGGGGTTTTAACTCCACTGTAAAATTTCCAAACATTTATTTATTGCTTTTAAAATACTCTTCAAGGACTTAGAAATCGCCTCTGAAAGATTTTATGCAGATATCAATTGTATTTTTTTTTAATTAAACATCCTATTATATGCAATCACTATAGCTATAGCATTGGATGATTGTGTTTATGTTTGTATGGTTGTATTTCTTTCCCTGTGATGCACTTCTCTCATTCTTTGTGGAAGTCTATATGCAGACAGGTTTTGGGTGAAACATAACCAGTAGTCATGTTTATCAATGAATCATAGCCATTAGTATAACCATTGAGGCAACGCCGTCCATATGTGTTTTGACATTCGGATATATTTTCGCTTCTACCATTCAGAAACTTCAGAGAAAAAGTTGAAAATGAGTGGAAATGGACAAAAAGTATTTCTTTCAAAGAAAGACGACTTTTGGATCGTTATGAAATGAAATCTGAGAACAAAAGTGTTGGTGCTTTGGCAAAAAAATTAAAACATCAAATACTGTAGAAAATATTAAAGTTGATGACACTCAGTTATCAGTTTATAAATTTTATTTCTGTCTTTTCCGCAATTTCGCAGATAGTTGTGTGCAAAAGTGCCATAAAGAAATAAAATTCACCCAGGCGTGTAGACATGGCTTAGGATTTAAAATGGTTGCCTCTTGTGGCAAGTGTAATAATACATCCCTCCTCAATTGTAGTTTTATAGAAAATGCATTTGAAATCAATCTTAGAATTGCCATGGCAATGCGTTTATTAGGAATTGGTTTGAATGTTTTGATAAAGTTCTGTGCATTCATGGATTTAACTCAGCTGTGTTTCAATCCATGTGTGGCAGGTTGATACCTACATACAATCTCCATTGCAACAGACGCAGTTCGTTCAGCAAGCATGAGACAAGCAGTCAGTGGCGGCTTTACAGTGGGGGGTCAAGGCCAAGAGAGCGTCAGGATCAAGGGACAGTCATTGATCCAGGATCAACTATAGGCCAAGAAACACAAAAATTAATTTCTAAGGAAAGTTTACGATGGAAAAATGTGCTTCAATGACTGATGCAGATTACATTGTATTTAGCTGAAAATAATCTGGTTTCCAGAGGATCTTCTGCTAAATTATTTACCTCAAATAATGGGGAATTTCTAGAGCTCATACAATTATTGGCAAGATTCGACCATGTCATGAAGGAGCATGTCAATTAGCAATGAAAGGAGAGTTGGCTGACCATTATTGTGGCAAAAATATACAAAATGAATTGATAGAATTAATGGCATTGCAAGTTAAATCCACAATACTATACCACGTAAAAAATTCAAAATATTTCAATCATAGCTGACTGTACTCCTGATATAAGCCATAAAGAGCAACTCTCTCTAACATTAAGGTGCATTGACATAATAAGTGTTGTTAATCAATGTTGAGGGCAAAGGACGTCAATCACCCAATATCGACTTCCTTCATATTACAGAAATGCTTAAAACATATTGTTCATATTTTGACATAAAAGAAAAACAAAATAAAGAACAGCTGTTCAATCATTATTCTGCACTGCAAAAAAAACTAACATTCAACTCTAAATCGGATATTAACGGAGACTTATTGTGTGACGAAATCTTGATTAGCTGAAAGACTACCCATACCGATGTTTTGAATTTCATCAAAAAGCACTCATTTTAAGAGTTGTTTCCTATCACCTGGATAACTCTGGCTATTCTGATAACAACACCAGTAGCAGTTGCAACTGGAGAACACAGTTTTTCCAAATTAAAATTATTAAAGACCTACTTGAGATTAACAAGTTTCACTAATAGGGCCGTTAAGGTCAATCGATTAGAAAGACCGTCTTTCAAAAAATCGATAATCTAAATTAAATTAGACGGATTAGTAATGTTTTCACGTTCGAAAATTGTTTAATTTTTGCAATAATTAATGTAAAAGTTTAAAATTCCCCACTTCCGATTCCGGATGACGTTTTTTCTTCTGTTTTCTTCTAGCGCATAAGATTCGTAGCATTGTCTCTCTCCAGAAATTTTATTGATTTTTATACGCTCAAATCTGTGTGACGTACTTTGGAGTTCGCGCCCTGTAGTTTCAAACTTCATTATAATTTTTGGAAAAACTAAGTCTCAGAATCAAAAATTAAAAAATAAAGGGTCAATCAATTTTAAAAAACTTTCGAATAAACCAATAAAAAAAACTTAACGGCCCTATTGGTTGGAAAACAAAGGAAGTCATTGAAAGTCAGTGAAGTGTGGAAAAAGAATTAAGGTACGACTGAATACTTGAAATGGAGAGAGACTCATGCTGACCACTGCCAATCAAATTATGAAGGATCGTCGGGGAAAATGGAGGTAGACAGTGATTGAAATGTTCCAATACTCTGAAGAACTATATGGTGTAAAGTACATTAATTACATTGGAGGTTAGGAATATTATAAAAGGATGATGTATTGATCATGTGCAAAAACGCATGGGCACCCGACTCAGGAATTTGAAGAACAACAAAACAATTTGAGAGTAAAGGGAAAATTGACTGGAAAATTAATCGATAAATTGACGAAGATTGAAGATTTAGGCCATCAAAGTTAATAAATTTTTATAGCTTTTCTTAAATTTTTTATAAAATTTGGCAAACAGAAATCGTTTAAGACCACTTTTGAAAATATGCAAACATGGGATCAATGCTATACAGGGTGATTCTCAATCTATACACATAAACTTGAGGATTTATTCCTCATGACGAATAATGACTAATGGGCGAAAAAATGTGTAGTGAAAGATTTTCTGTTTCATAGATGTCTGTGATATTTACTTACAAATCAAGAATACATAGAACATTTTAAAACAACGTCACAGCAAGTGTTTGAAGTTATTTCCCATATTTTCTATCAATTGGGTTTCCCGAATCCACGATCTCCAACTAGCGCATCCTAAACCAGGGTGTTGGCGGATTTTCTGTGCAGCAGCATGTACCTGATTTTGCAATATTTGCTCAGTATTGACTTACGTGGCGTACACTATGCTTTTTAAGGCCATTGGACCATCTCGACCTATCCATCCTCTAGGAAACACATGATCTAGATGTCGCCGATTATATCGGATATCTAGGAAACTAAAAAACTTTTACTACAATTTTTTTCATCTATTAGTCATTATTTGTCATGAGGAATAAATCCTCAAGTTTATGCGTATAAGTTGAGAATCACCCTGTATAGGTGTTCACAAAGGTTATTTGCTTAAAAATTTTTTATTATGTCATAAACCAACCAAACTGATTCTGAAAGCTTCTTTTATTTTGAAATTATTTTTACTCTTACAAATTTTTGATTAGTGATCGTTTTCTTGTTATTCACAAAAAGATTTAAGTTCGTTTAAAAGAAATCTGTCAAATTATTACTCAATGTAGCATGAAATCCGGATTTTCTTTACCACAATTATTCTTCAGCATTTCAAAATGTTTTCTTCTAGTTGGGGTTTACGAACTGACCTCAGATTCCCGTTCTGTCTTAAATTTTCTGTCTCACCCAAATGTATTTCGATATTTAGTAATGTTTTTCTGTCAGGTTGTCTTTACTTACAATTCGTTTCCATAGGCACCTACGATTAATGAAAACATTCCCAAAACGAGGTTATATCATTTGCAAATATCTCGAAATGATGCGTCTAATCAAAAATTTAAGAGTGAAAATAATTTTAAAATGAAATAGGCTTGATATAGCCTATTGATCCCGTGGTTCAATTTTTTCAATAGTGATCTCAAACGATTTCTTATAACATTTGCAAAATTTAGTCTTTCTAAGACAAACCATATTGAAGATATTTAAGAAAATGTTTGAAAATTTCTTAACTTTGAAGGCGCATTTATGGCTTTAGATCAAACATTTTTACACGAATATTCATCATTTTCACTAGTATTTACGATTAAAATTATGGCACGACTTACAGAAACGGCTNAATTGATAGAATTAATGGCATTGCAAGTTAAATCCACAATACTATACCATGTAAAAAATTTAAAATATTTCAATCATAGCTGACTGTACTCCTGATATAAGCCATAAAGAGTAACTCTCTCTAACATTAAGGTGCACTGACTAATCAGTGTTGTTAATCAATGTTGTGGGCAAAGCAAGTCAATCCCCCCAATATCGACTTTGTACATATTTGGAAATTTACCTTATAAATAGTTAGATTTCGAACAACCTAACTTTTGAACCCCAAAAGCGACTAAGACGTATTGAAACCAATGAATGACCCTAAAAAGTGCAAGTGTGACTTGGCATTTTTTTTGACATAAAAGAAAAACAAAATAATAACATTCAACTCTAAATTGGATATTAATGAAGACTTATTGTGTGACGAAATCTTGAGTCTACAATATTACCTGAAAGACTACCCATACTGAAGTTTTGAATTTGATCAAAAAGCACTCATTTTGAGTTGTTTCCTCAACCTGGATAACTTTGCCTATTCTGCTAAGAATAACAGTAGCAGTTGCAACTGAAGAACGCAGTTTTTCCAAATTAAAATTAATAAAGACCTACTTGGGATCAACAATATCGCAAACAAGATGTAACTAGTCTCGAGTCTCGTTATGTTTATCGAAAATGAAATTGCAGAAAATCTGGACCTTAATTAAAAAATTTTCCCATACGAAAAGCTAGAAACGGTAAATTTTGTTTATTGGTAATCATATCGATATAGATATTGATTTAATATCAATATCTATCTGTTTGATCAAGTACAGTAGTAAGAAATAAAGGCCGCCAAAAAATATCTTACCCGCGGCTCTCTGATGCCTAAGGTCGGCACTGCAACCAGTGCAAGAAAAAAGATTCCACAATGAGAATATTTCATGAGATTTTCGTCTCATGAAATAAAAATCGCAGAATAACTTTAATTTTGTTATGAAAATAGGGATTGAAATACGTGACATACTAGGGATAATCTCGTGAAACAATGTGTCATGAGAGCTTTATTGCTTGTACAAGTTTCAACGTGTAAACATGACAGCCAAATGAAAAAACCAACTGGCGGAATATAAGCACAAATCACAGATGCCACTGGTAATTTTTAAAGAGCTTAAACCTCTATACAGGGTGCGCTCTATACAAGGCTATACACTTACAGTGTTTCTGTAAGTCGTGGCATAATTTTAACCACAAATACTAGAGTCAAAATTATGACCATTCGTGTAAAAATAAACTAACCCAACCCAACCCATAAATGGCTAAGATTTAGGCCACCAAAGTTAAGAAATTTTTACAGCTTTTTTTAAATATTTTTAATATGGTTTGTTTTAGTATGATAAAATTTGGCGAACAGAAATCGTTTAAGATCACTTTTGAAAATATGCAAACATGGTATCAATGGTATACAGGTGTTCACAAAGATTATTTGCTTAAAACTTTTTTATTATGTGATAAACCAACCCAACTGATTCTGAAAGCCTGTCATTTTTGATTAGGCATCGTTTTCGAGTTATTCACAAAAAGATTTAAGTTCGTTTAAAAGAAATCTGTCAAATTATTACTCAATGTAGTATGAGATCCGGATTTTCTTCACTACAATTATTCTTCAGTATTTCTCAAATTAATGGTTATCTTTAAAAAGTACTTTTTTCTAAAAACGCAGCATCAATAGTACATTTTTCCATGATACACTGCATTTACAACGGATGATCAGCAATTTTAAATTCTTTTTTCTATTCTACGGATAGATACAATTGCTGTTCATGTAGGACATGCCAAGACCTACCTTTGGATATTCTGAAATGTCTAAACTGTTGCTATCAGCAGTACTAGCAGTATTACGATGTGCCACAAAATTCAAAATGTTTTCTTCTAGTTGGGGTCTACGAACTGACCTAAGATTCCCGTTATTTACGTACTTCTGTCTTAAATATCCTGTCTCACCCAAATGTCTTTCGATATTTAGTCATGTTTTTCTATCAGGTTGTCTTTACTTACAATTTGTTTCCATAGGCACTTACGATTAATGAAAACATTCCAAAATCGAGGTTGTATCATTTGCAAATATCTCGAAAACGATGCGTCTAATCAAAAATTTCGAAGAGCAAAAATAATTTTAAAATGAAATACGCTTGATATAGCATTGATCCCGTGGGTCAATTTTTTCAATAGTGATCTAAAACGATTCTTATAACATTTGCCAAATTTAGTCTTTCTAACACAAACCATATTGAAGATATTTAAGAAAATGTTTGAAAATTTCTTAACTTTGAAGGCCCATTTATGGCTTTAGATCAAACATTTTTACACGAATATTCATCATTTTCACTAGTATTTACGATTAAAATTATGGCACGACTTACAGAAACGGCTTTCAGCAAAACTGAATTATTAAATCGTTGTTGGGTGGATTCACTCAGAACAGTAATGAAAGTTTCAACGTAACTGCATGGGCGATTGCACCGAAAAATTCTTCTAGTGGCAAAAGATTTTGGACATTTGCTGATATGAGCATAATGCAAGCTTTTTTTCAGTAACTGCTACAATTTTTGTATAGAAGCTGATGGAAAGCGTATAAAGTTATAAAAGAGAGGCTCGCTTGAGGATAAAATCCTCAAAAAAGAAGAAAAAGATGACAATGGCAATATTGAGGGGCAACTTTATTGTCCTGGGGTACCAGATTGAAGGTACATTCATCATTACTAAAAGATTTTCGCTCTAAATTTAGAGACAAACAACAATACAAAACACGAATAGAATAAATTAAGCATTTGCTAATTCAAAGTGCGAAATAGTAGTTGCTTACCTATGCATGACGTCACGAACGGACCTTTGAGCTGTGCATCTGTTTCTGGGATGTAGCAGTCCTCTTAAATTCTACCGTCCTTGGTATAAATATACAGCCAAGTAGAATGAATGCAACGCTGTGGACAGCTGTCCGAATTTATGTACATTAAAATTATTGATTCAAACAGTTTAAAGTGCAAATTAAATTCCCCGTATTAATCCGTTATATCGAGGTTTTACTGTAATATTTATATTACATAATTGAAATTTTAGATGGTTAGTTTTCTGTCATGTTCCACTTTTTTGTGATTCCTTCCGCCATTATGATACAGCAATGATTTTTGGTAAAACTCTCTTTCGTGCGGTTTTCAAACATGTAAAAAAGCAAATTTTGGATCAATTTCATGAGGAGAGAGATTGGATGCCTGTTGAACGAAGAGTTATGCTTCTAACACATTTCCCGCCATTTTTAAATCTTCTCGATGAAGAGATTTATTCATCAAACTCTCCAATTTGGGATCCTGATTTTAAACCACCTCCTTGCATTCCACTTCAATCACTTCTTGATTCATCAAAAGCAAAAAGTACGTAAATTTTGATAAAAGCTTTTTTATTAATTAACTTTTTTTAAATTTCAGGAGCTGGTGTTAATGTCAAAAATGATAAAACTGATAGAGATTTTTCTTTGACAGCTTCTGCAGGGCCATCCTCAGCAACAAAAACTCGCACTGAATTTGAAACTCCTAGTCGTGAAGTGAAAAGACGTCGGGTGGTTCAAGATGAGCATTTTGAGGATTTATCAAAAGAAACTGTGGCGGAAATTATAGCGACTATTGATGATCCGAAATACATGACGGGACCGGATATGGTTTTTTCTGAAAATACACCACCAAGAGATAAAGAACCAAAACAAGAGGAGAAACAAGGAATTATAGAGTTACACGTTGTTGGGAATAGTTTAACAGAACCAGTTAGTAAACAGACGATGTTGTGGTTAATTGGGCTTCAAAATGTATTTTCTTTGCAATTACCTAGAATGCCTAAAGAATATATAAGTCAATTATTATTTGATCCGTAAGTTACTACTTAAAGTGTGTTTAAGATGAAATTAGCATTATTTTTATGTTGTAGAAAACATCGAACCTTAGCATTAATAAGACATAACAAACCAATTGGAGGAATTTGTTTTCGTCCATTTCCTACGCAAGGTTTTACAGAAATTGTTTTTTTAGCGATGACATCTAGCGAGCAAGTGAAAGGTTATGGAACTCATCTTATGAATCATTTAAAAGATTATCATATTCGAAAGAATATTTTACACTTTTTAACATTTGCTGATCAATTTGCAATTGGTAAAAATTCTTTATTTTTAACATTTTTAAATCATTAACAAAATAATTTTTGTTTTAAGAATATTTTGAAAAACAGGGTTTTTCAAAAGACATAAAAATGGCAAGAGCAATGTATCAAGGATACATTAAAGATTACGAGGGGGCCACTTTAATGCATTGCGAATTAAATCCCAGAATTATTTATACGGAATTCACTTCCGTTATTAGAAAACAAAAAGAAATTGTTAAACAGTTGATTTATCAACAACAGCGTACCTTATCGAAAGTTCATCCTGGTTTAACATTCTTTAAAGAAGGTTTTTTTATTTCTTTATTATTAAATTGAAAGAATATTTTTTGTTTATGTTTCTTTTTGTTTTAGGTGTAACTTCTTTGCCAATAGAATCCATACCTGGAATACAAGAAACCGGTTGGAGGCCGACTTTAAGGACTACTAGAGGGGGTCAACTGGAAGAATCTCAAGATATAGATGTATTGGCTGGAATGTTGAAGACTGTGTTGATTTCGGTTAAGAATCATGAAGATTCATGGCCATTTAGGGAACCGGTTGATAAAAATGATGTTCCAGATTATTATGATCATATTAAATATCCAATGGGTAAGTATTTTTATTGAAAATGACCAAACTTGAGCAAAATCTTTCTGCTTATCATATTTCAAATGCCAGAAGACATCTATCACAGTAATTCTGATTTTGTAAGATGTGTGGAATGTGCCTTTAGAAGTGAAGTTTCATTGTGTAGAAGTGTGTTTCACTGCCATAAAGCTTTCTTTTAACCTGTTTTTGAAAAGACATTATTTTGCTTCTTGGTGAGACAGTATGACTATTTCTTCAATAAAGCCTTTTAACCATGAGTTTAATTTGGCGAGGCAGACTTCGATTAATTCCTCCTCATTTGGAATATGTGAAACTTTTTCTTGGAGTGAGGTCTGCTTCGCAAGCATGGCTGTCTATTATTACTTGAGACATCAACAAATTTGTTTGTTTGGTCTATGAAGCCCTGTAATGATGATCGAATAATTATTACATCCTAAATTTCTTTTGTGTTATGCCTATATGTATAGTTGAATATGTATAGTTGAATTTCTTCTGCTTTCCTCACTGATCAGCCTATCATAACTATGAAGAAGTGAATGTTATATCATAATATCATCACAAAAACCCACAGATCAGATTTACCACATTTATTCAGGTTTGAAAATTTAAACCAGATTTTGTATTAGACAAAAAAATGAAAATATCACTTATTAAAGTTCTGCAAAGTCCACAGGTATAATTTTTATAATTGATTAGGTATAATTTAAATTAAAGTGTTCCTTATGCACCTGGAAGGCTGAGGTATAAGAATCTGGCGAGTAAAGGTGTATTGTAGCAGAATACTTTTCAATAAGTATGATATTTTGCTCCAGATGCATTGGGGTCTAACCAAACACAAGGGTGTTAGATTACTGGGTGTAACAGATAGTATAATTAATGTTCATGGTAGAAATAGCGGCGCTGTGTTCATGTTGCTAAGTTATGACAAAGTATCGATAAGGTGGATAAAGCGTTACTTGCTATTTTAATTTTTTGATTTTTTGTAATGAAGTAAAATGTTGGGGTTCTTGGAATTACGATTAGATTCATCACTGCAATTCCGTATATGAGTTTCTTACATCAGTCATCATTAGATCATTCATTGAAAATGATATTGTGTGCTTTTTTAGTGTTATTGTTTGTTAACTTTACAGATACGAGTTACGTGTAGTTAGTATTATTCTTATATTACAAAATTAATGACTATTGATGACTAAATTGATGACTGCATACCAGCGACTTCGGTGCCATCCGAAAGACAATTTTCTAAAGCGGATATTTTTTATTGACTTACAGATCCATCAATTCGAACTCGGTGTACTCAACTTTTAAACTTGGTTAACTCGGTTTGGCCAAAAACCCAAGTTAGCCCATCGCTAATAACGGCTGACTACCTGTCGTTAGATAAACTGTGTGTCAATAGACTCCGTGTTAATACCAGAACTACATAACACTATACTTAGAACTAGAAACATTCGGGTTTAGCTGCACGTCTCTTAAGACGGCTAAACTCGACTGATTCTAGTTCTAGGTCTTGTGTTAGTTCTAGTTTTACACTAGCACTGTTACTATGTACAGGGTGGTCAAATTTGGGTGTTATTATAGGCTATCTCAGAAACTATAAGAGATACGAAAAAAGTAGGTGCCATGTCCCGGTCTTTTTTTTCGAGACTAATCCAATCCCGCAAACATCAAACCTCTATCTTCTTTTGTTTTTAAGTTATAGCCAAAAAGTCAAATTTTCGTGATTTTAAAAAATGCTCGTATTTCGTTTATTTGTGAAATTAGAGAAATGGGGTTGATACGTTCTTAAGGCACGTTTTTAAGTAGAATATACTGCCGTTGAAAAGTTTTAAAAATATTTGATGATATTTGAGATACAACACAAAGTTGTATTTTTTTAAATACAAACTATAGTAGATTATGGTGTTACTGAAAAGAGCATATTTTTAGCTTTCCAATGATGTATTGCACGCATGGTGTATTTGGGGAAAATAAGCGTTATTTTTTAATTCTAAAATATTAAAGATAAATATTCAAAACTTTAATTATAGTAGGCGAGGAAAACGTTAAATGCCACTTAGTTACTATAGTAACGTGAGTTTACTGATCATTTCATTCATGAATTTTTCGAAACGAGTTTCCCGCTTAAAAATTCCTCATTATCTTTAAATACATAAAGCGATAAAATTAAAAAATGATTCTTTGAAAATGATAGATAAGGCTCCATATCCCATATAAGCATCGTTTTAATGGAAAGTCCGCTGCCCAGTTTATGATCCCTAATCTTCCTCTATCTCACCCAATTTCAAAAGAAAAAGTTGCTAATAAGAAAAAACTTCTAAATCTCATGGTTGAGGAAAACTGGGAAGATACTACCGAAGATTTCATTCATTGATACCCAACTGTTCCAACCTTACAACCAATAAGTTTAGTAGAAGAAGATGACACAGTCTGTGACTGTTTAATTCCTGAAGTTGTTGTTCATATTTAATTATTCATTAATTAACACGTTTCTTGTATATTTAATAAACAAACTTTATCTACAAATAATATGTTATTGGTGAACAAAGTCAGGGATAAGACACTGAGAAATTTAAATCAACTATTCAGTAGTACAAAGTTTTTATTCGTTGGTACAAAACCAACTTTATCCTGCATAATGGTACAAGACCAACTTTCTGTCATATTCGTGCAAAACCATATAGCAATTAGGTACTAATTACTGTCCGAACCCGCCTACTATAATCAAAATTTTGAATTTTAGCGCTTACTATTTTGGAATTGAAAATTAACGCTTATTTTCCGCAAATACACCATACATGCGATACATCATTGGAAAGCTAAAAATATGCTCTTTTCATTAACATCATAATCAAGTATAGTTTGTATTTAAAAAAATACAACTTTGTGTTGTATCTCAAAAATCATCAAATATTTTTTAAATTTTTCAACGGCAGTATATTCTACTTAAAAAAGTGTCTTAAGAACGTATCAACCCCATTTCTCTAGTTTCAAATATAAACGAAATATGAGCATTTTTTGAAATCACGAAAATTTGACTTTTTGGCTATAACTTAAAAACAAAAGAAGATAGAGGTTTGATGTTTGCGGGTTTGGATTAGTCTCGAAAAAAGAGACCGGGACATGGCACCTACTTTTTTCGTATCTCTTATAGTTTCTGAGATAGCCTATAATAACACCCAAATTTGCCCACCCTGTACAACTAACACTAGACCTAGAACTAGAAAGTATCGTGTTTAACCATGCGTCTGAAAAACCCAACCCGGAATTTACAACCCACCCTCACTTCCATGCCTAACCCGCCATTTAAGAAATTCGCACTGGTTTAAATGTTAATTAACCTAACTCAAAGTGGAATTTTTACACAAAATTCTGAAATAATCAGTAAATTAGGTGGTTCCGAATGTAACGTTTAAAGAGGGCCCTACCTCCCTCTAAAAAGATATGTCTCATTTGTGTGATAAAGAATCGAGTGTTGTAGCAGCAATTTTTAAATCTGTAATGGAAGGGATACAGAAAGATATCACTCAACAGAAGAATAGTTTCAGTAAATAGTCTTAAGCCAGTAGTATTGTAATCTCCAAGTACTTAGTAGTGTTTTAGCAGCAGTATATAGTCTTCTGAAAGTATTAAATAGTCTTTGCCGACAATATCTAGCTTTCTCCAAGCAATTAGTAGTCTTTCTAACAATAGTTAGTATTCTGAAAGTAGTTAATAGTCTTTTGGAAACAGTATCTTCAGTATTTCCAAGCAAATAATAGTTTCTCCCAGCAGTATTTAGCATTCTCCAAGCAGGTCGTAACCTTTTCTAGTAGTATATAGTGCTCTGAAAGTAGTAAATAGTGTTATGGAAGCAGTACCTCTACTTTCCAAGTAGTTATTAGTCTTTTCCAGTAGTATTTAGCATTCTGTCAGCATTAAGTAGCTTTTTGGGAAGCATATCTCTTCTTTCCAAGCAGCTATTAGTATTGTCCAGCAGTATCTAACATTCTGGAATCGGTAAGTGGCATAACCCTTTTCCAAACATTTATTAAAACCTTTGAAAGCAACAATAAGTGGTCTTGGAAGCAGTATTTCGCCTATCCAAGTAAGTTAAAACCTTTAACAGCAGTGTTTAGCGTTCTGGAAGCAAAAGGAATTATTTTGAAAACAGTATCTATTCTTTTCCAAGTAAGTTGTGGTCTTTTTCTGCAGTATCTAGCATTTTTGAAGCAGAAGGCAACTTTTTAAAATAGTATTTCATCTTTCCAAGCAGTTTCTAGTCTTTTACTAGCCGTATTTAATCTTCTGATAGCAATAATTAGTCGTTTGCCAACAGCATCTAATATTCATCAAATAATAAGTTAAAAAGGAGGTAGGTTATCTTTAGTTTATAGTCGTTCTGCGTCGAAAACATTTTTAATCCCAGATACCATGTTTAATAACTTCCTCATATTGATGAATAAACATACTTTAGTAATATCTGAAAAATAAGAATTGGTGTTATTATTTAAATCGGAGGGTGGTACTTCACTAACGCTCCAATTGTGTTGTGTCGTTTTCAGAAAGTTGTCAAAACTTCAGAATTAACAAGAGTTTTCTACACTGTATAAAATGTCTTCGAAAAATTTAACATCATAAGCAAAAAAATCTATCCTTAAGTTGCTTTGAGGTGGTATCTTAGAAATTTGACTCAGGTTGCGTTGATTGATAAGCTAGTACTACTATGTCACACTTGCTATTACTCAAATGTAATTCTCTAATGACTTTTTAGCCACTTATGTTAACCTAAATATAATTTAGCCTAAATTATGTTAACAATATAAATCGAAATTATTTTTTTCTTTTTTAACGAGTTATTTTATTTATTTCCAGACTTGAAAAAAATGGGTGAAAGATTAAAAGCAAGATATTACTCAACGAGACGTCTTTTTATAGCAGATATGATGCGAATTTTTACCAATTGTAAAATATACAATTCCCCGGAAACTGAATATTACCAATGCGCGATTAATTTGCAACAATATTTCCAAACGAAAATGAAGGAGTTAGGATTATGGGATAAGTAAAACTTTTTTTAACCTCTTTTAGACATTAAAAAACACAAAACATATACAAGAAAAACCTTTATAATAAACAACTTTATACACATGTTACTGTAATATATGATAATAATATAGATAGTAATAATAAAAATGACTAGTAAACTTCAATAATATTAGACAACTTAAAGTTTCTTTTTTAAGAAAAAACTATCAAATAAACTACTATACAAATACAATGTGTATAACAGATCTATAAATTACCTGCGTTGCTTTTATTAATTTATACATAAAAAGAAAACAATATTCAAAAAGCGAGTTTAAAAGAAGAAACTCGAAAAACATCTAATAAATTTCACTACCCTGTTTTTTTTGTTTACATTAATAATTTTTGAATAATTCATGAATTAATATAATAATTAATTTAATAATAAACAACACGTTTTATTTTTAAGTAGCAGCAAAAATGTAATGTACTTTTTTGGTTAATCATGATAAAAAGTAAGGGTTATATATAAATAGAGAGGAGGCTTACATAGAAAAAACCTAATCTAATGGGTTATACTAATGTTAAAAAAATTGTTAATTTCAATTCCCATTAGATATTTTTACTTTTTAATTATCTCAAGTACTATCACGTAATAAGAATATTTTGAAAATACTACCAAGATTCACAATACTTATTAATAATTATGTTTCATTTTGTATCATCACTAATATTAAGTCGGTACTCCAAAAAATTGAGCACCAAAACACAAAAAAAAAGAAAAAAAAGATACAAAAAGATACTATAAAAAAACCTATAACAATCATCGTGCTTTATTTCTTCTTGCAAAGTTAACTTTTTAACGCGTTTTTTACAAAAAGATCTACAAAAGCTTCTTGTTACTATGAATATTTATTTCTTTCAAAAAGCTACTCTAATCGACGAGAATCTCCGTGTTTTTCCTATAATTATAATAACTTTTTAAGTGTTAACACGAAAAATTACAAGAAAAGTAAAAAAAAATACAAAAGAAAAATATTAATAACTAACTGTAATTATAAATTAGAAAAAAAAATAGAATTATAAAACAGAATTGAATAAATATTAATTTGTGGACGAACGAAGTCAACAAACGCGACTAGAATGGTTTAAAAATGTTAGAAATCCTTATTTGATTTTCTTCAAAATATGATAGGTTAAACACGCCTCGTCGCGGTAAAAATCGTAATCAAATTTGTCTTTGAGGTTATCTTTTTTTTAATTGAATCATTTGAACAGGCGTCTCTATAAAAGTAAGGTTTAAACCGCTTTCTTTTACCATATGTATCTTCAAAAAATGTATTATTTTTTTTAGTAAATCTCATTACTTTTATTTATTTTTTATCCATGCTAAATACTACACTCATCGCTTTCATCAGAAAGGCCACCACAATTAGCGTCAACATCCAAGACGATATCCAAGTTTTGTGATAACGGATCTTCATCTGGGTTACCTTCATCGAACGAGCTGGGGAAAAAAATTAATTCATTTGTGGTTAAAAGGTGCTTTTGTGAACGAAAAGCTTTTCAAAAAAGATTTTTTTTGGATGTTAGAATATTTCAAGATGCTTTTTCATAAAAAAATCATTCGTGTTGTCTAAATTTATGGTCATGATTTTAGTAAAAGCGGAATTTTTGTCAATTTCTATGTTAGTGCAATTTTTGGAAATTTTCGTTAGTTTTTCAACAAGTAATTCTTACCCGATCAAAACCACAATCGTATTCCCTAAACACAAGCAAAATAATCAATATGATCAAGTTAAATCTCAACAAAATATTTAAACTTTTAGTTTTCCACCTCTTTCCAAAGTTAATTTTTAAATATTCTAAAATAATCATTATTTTTTTCAATACTTACAAGCTATTAGGATCATCATTTCCTCCTTCTTCAGCTACTAGAAGTTCATATTCTTCCGCAGCGTATCGATCCCAATCGGAAAGCTACAAAAATTATTTATTTATTTGAAATCAATAATTTAAGAAATTTACCTCTTGTCCATCTAAATCGTGATCTCTTTGGGAAGCAAAAGGATCTCTTTGTTCGTGATCCAGGTATTTTTCTAAGTTAAAGAAGGTGTCAAAGAAAATGGGAGTCATTTTGCACTTTTTCAGGTCGCTCAATGTGATTTTGCCTGTTGTTTTTGGTTTTACCATATCTAGCATTTGACACAAACAGTCCTACAAAAATCATTTCAACAATATAACATATTTATATTAAAAATTCTAAAAAATGTATTTCATAACAACAAATTTTTATTTTACATTTCATATTAATTAAATAAATAAATGAGGAGGTTGGGTAAGTTGGAATATGGTCGAGATTAATGAACAAATACTTTTAAAAAGGTAAGTGATTTAAAGAGGAGAGCAATACATACGTTGAATATGATAAGAAAAGAGACAGGCGAGAGTGGTTTGACCAAGAGTGTGCTGAAGCCATCAATATAAGAACTAAAACAAGGAAAAGGATTTGCATCATCCTTTTCCTTGTTTTAGGGAAACCAGAGTGGTGGTGCAGGAATTTGTACGAGCGAGGACCAACATAGTGAGCAGTACGAGGAGAGAATAAGACAGATGTATTGCAGGATAAAGGAGAAAAAAGAGGGTTTAGGTCAGGGAAGACATGATTGAGAGCAAGAACGGCAAGCTTATCGGGGATCCCTCAAAGGTATTGGACCGCTGAGCGGAATACTTCGAGTACCTCTTGAACGAACCAAACCAAGAAGCCGACAATAACTTTGAAATAAGAGAGGACAATATAGAAATACAAACCCTACCTAATCTGAAGTAGAAGAAGCCATACAAAGTATGAAAAACCACAAGGCACCAGGAGAAGATCAAATAGTTGCGAAACTCAAAGCATGATGGGAAAGCGCTATCATGTCTGCTTGGTGAAATATTTTAGCAAGAGTAAATGCTTAGTAGGTAGGCAGTGTGCATGATATACCCGGTGCATAAGAAATGAAATGTCAAAAATGACATGTGACAACTATAGAGGAATAGTTCAGGCCAGACTCGGACTTCCGACTTTTCGGAACAAGGCTTGGGAAGTTGTCAGTGCGGATTCCGTACTTGAAAAATGTTACAAGTACGATATATCTGTGCATCAACTCTTCGCGGATTCCAGACAGACAGGTGATAGCGTGGATAGGGCATACTTATACAATACGCTGCAGATGCTCGCGATACCGGAAAAGTTTATCCACTGGTGAGGATGACGTTGGCAAACACTAGGAGTGTGATAAAGGTGGCCGGAAGCATCTCTATAGAGCTTATGGTGAGCCGTGTCTTAGGCAAGGGCCATCACGACGCATTGGAATACAACATATTGGTAAATCGAACAACACAATGTCTGGTATACGTAGACGATGTGGACTTGTTATACACAGAATGAAATCGAGTACATGACTACAGGTGATGGAATGAGAGTCGAGGACAGCTGGCCTTTATATTAATGAGAATAAGACAAACTATGTGCTTCTGTCTAGAGAAAGGACTGAGATACATTCGTTCACTGTCGGCGAATACTGTAAGTCTAGTACAGCAAGTCATATTTTTTGTGACTGTCCCAACCTCGCGTACTTAAGAGAATCTATTTTCGGAGTACCATGGCTCCAAATTTCGGATAAAAGGAACATACCTTTCTGTTCTATATTAACGTTCATGAAAAGATTGGGCTTGTTTTCTGACCCTTGAATGAACAGTAATTGTGGGGACGTACAAAGGGCCCGCTTGGGCCTAAGTGCTGTGAAGAGACTCACCCCCACGTGAAACTACATACATACAAACCAGGGAAGGAAACGGATCGTGAAAAATTAAAGAGGTATCAGCTTACTGAATACGACGTACAAGATATACGCGCAGGTACTGGTCGCGAGACTAGAGCGAAAGATAGAGGAGAGGGAATTCCTGGTAGATAGCCAGGCAGGGTTTAGAAATAGAAGTGGAGCGAGGGACAACGTGTACATATTGAAACACCTGATGGTCAGACAACTGGATCGAAATGGAGGAAAGCTTTGTACTCTATAGATTTAAAGCCAGCGTTTCACATGGTAAATAGAAGGAAGTCATGGGAGGAGATGGGGAGAAGAGAGATTTCGGGAAGAAGCGGAAACGGTAGCCAAAGTAAAGGTGCGGGAAGAACTAAGCGAAAAGTTTTGGACGACAAGGGGACTGAGACTGAAAAAAGTAAGGTGAACTTATTAGAATGATGGTAGTGAAAGCGAATAAGGTTATGGGGCAGGTCTGGAGATGGGAGGAGATAATGTTTGAGAGCTTGATAAAAAACGTTATGATGTATGGAGTGTAGATATTGGGATGGAAGGAGCAAGGGCTGTTAGAGACTGTGTAGACCAGGTACTGGAGGTGGGTGTTGGGGTTGGCTGGCGAGACGCCGGAGTATTATAGAGTTAGAGAAAAAATGAAGGTATATGAGAAAGATGAGAAACACTACAGAAGGGTGGGATATTACAGATAACTAGAGGACAGGGATAGGGATGTGGGAATGCAAGGAAGACTGAAATAAGGGAGAGTAAATATAATCCAAAATACAGGAAGATTGTAACAGAGGGGCTACGGAAGTACTTGATGGCGGAGGGGAAGAGGTTGGTGGCCAGATTTAGGTGTGGTAACGAAGAGAGGGTCAAAAGATATTGGATGGAAAATAAGAAGTGTTTACTTTGAGGTTGGGTGGTGACTCAGCGGTTAAACTCTCGGGTGGACACGCAGACGCTCCGGGTTCGACCACCGGTTTAAACATTTTCATCAAGCCGCCCACCCGTCCTTCGGAGGGGACGTTAAGCCGTCGGTCCCGGCAACCAGTCGTTCACCTCTGGTTGTCGTAATCACACATGTGTGTAAGGGGTTTGAACACATGGTTGAATGCGCGTCAGCGCTCTTGAGCCTACACCTCGTGGGACCAAGGGTTGATGACCAGCTCTCTGCTCTACCTTGGTTCGAGGGGGTTAGCGAGTGAGTGGTATCTTTGAGCGGCACCTGACAGGGGCGAACCCAGAATGCATAGCACGCCCAGAATACGTATAGAATACGCACTCCCCATACTATACATACAAGAAGTGTTTACTGTGTACATCATCTTCTGGTAGAGTGTGATGAGTTGAGTGAGGAAGTGATGGACTGGAAGCAGTTGCTGAGGGAGAAGGCGTTTGGGAGGAGATGGATGGGAAAGGGGTAGGATTTATAGACAATCTGGATTGTTCGTCTGGGTACTGTGAATTTAGAGATTCAATATTTATTCTGGACAACGTGTTCGTTACAATGTTGGAGTCTCCTTTAATGTACCTGATGAGAAATGAGTTATGGAACGCAGATATAGTATCTGACGTGGGTTTTTTTTTTTTGGTGAAAAAGACTGTGGTAATTAATGGTTTGTCAGTGTAAACCACAAGCTGATTTCCAAATTGTGGGGTGAGTAGCCCAGGTGCACTTCCAATTATATCATGTGCCATCACTTGCAGTCGAAGGAAGGAAGACCAGACTACTTAAGACTTAAATGACTGAGGAGAGGACGGTAAGAAGAGCATATCAGCAGAAACGGCCCACGACTTCCGGGATGACTGCGCAGACCTTGGCTACACGACGTGGAGGCTGGAAATAAGGAGATTGGAGAGGAGTGATGAAGGAGTCTACAGATAAGGTAATTATATTAAGAAATTTTTCTGATATAAAATAAAATTAATTCGTGCATTGAACAATGTTAAAATTAAAGTGCACAAATAATAATTACTCAGCCTTACTTCAAATGGCAAAGTTTCAATTCCAATCAATTCCATTCGGTGCATTTGCTCTTCATAAAAATATTCCAACTCATACATCGATAAGAATCCATCACCGTCCAAATCCATACATCTAAACCAATATTCAATAGCGGTTGGATGTCTTTTGTCTTCTTCGCTAAGCAAAAACCAAACAAACTCACAATACGATAACTTTTCATCGTGTTGGGATTTTCTTTGACCTCTCGTAACGCAACCGCTAAAAATCCGATCAACGATCCTTTTTGAAAGTGCTTTAAAATAATCGAAATTAATAATTTTATAAGAAAAAAAAAGTTTTTGATTATTTTTACCATGATCGTTGTGTCTAGTTAAATCCTGCTTATCAATAAATAAATCATGATCTCGATCCAATTCCCAAAATTTGCAATAGATAACGTAGAAATGTTCGTAGCTAAAATACTGGGTGATTTGGTTGATATCTTCTTCGTCTTCTAACATTTGAATGACGTTTAATAGATTTGATCGTCTTATTTCTGGTATTGTTATCTTTCCAGACCATGATCTGTTTACGTTATAAAAAATCCTTGCAATCACTGTGTGAACATATCGCGAATGAAACTCTGTGGCTTCTTTTAAAAAGGTTAAACCTGGATGAGTTTCAACTACATCTTGAACTAACGGTATAAAATCTTCTGGGCTCAAAAAGTTTCTTCTACCCCTCGTTAAAATGTATACAAATCTCGAAGCCGAATCATGACAAGTATTTGCCATACTAAAAAAATTACAGTAATTATAAGAAATTTTTTTAAACAAAACATTTACTTTGTCCACATTGTTAGGAACTGTTCTAAAGTACATGTTCCTTTATCAGCACAAGCAGCAAGATATAGAGGTGTCTTCCAATATAATGGAAGCTGACAAGCCGTTGTTATTGTTCCGAAATTTTCTCTCGAAGCCCTGCTATCGTTGCCCGAAATGGTAGAAAATGCCGCGGATACTTTTGCTTTAATCGTTTCGATTTGACTTGGAGGGCCAGGTTTTCCCAATGGAAAGTAAAATCTTGGTATGTGCACGTTTCTGTTGGCTTTTACGTGCCTTTGAAGAGTTGTATGTGGAAGAATCAACTGTTGTTTTGGTAAAGGCTAAAATATCAAGAAAATGATTTGTTTGGTTAAAAAAATTTGACATAAAACCTAACCTATTTTTTTTTGTTTACATTTTTAAAATTAAATTGTCACTACATTCACTGTAGTAAATTCGAACATTATTTATTAACTTTAATTGTTAATATCGAAATTAATTATTAATATAGTTTTTTACTTTCAATTTATTATTAATTACCACTAAAAATTTTTTGATTTAAAATTTATTGTTTATTTTTTAAATTCATTACCAACCTCGTAAATCTAAACGTCCCCAAAATTGAAAACGTTCATTAAAAATTTTGATAAATCGTTGCATAAAAAACGATTTTTATGTTTCTAATTAAGTCTCGTGCGACTTGAACACGTTAATTTCGAACACCGTATTGTTCCGTATACGAACAATGGTTCGAATTGATTGTTTGGGTTACGTAAGAGCGGGAAAATGATTTGGCCGAGGTAATAGGAGCGAATTGTTTTGCAAACGGCGGCATTCGTAAATTTAAAATGTAAATAGACACTTGATTGTGCGGAATTCGAGAGAAAATGTAAATATGTTTTTAAACGGCGCGTATTGAAAATTTTAATATTGGTAATGGACTTTACAGCATCGTAATCGATAAACTAAAGTACTGCGGGCAATTTTAAAACTAAAATTTTATTTCAATTCATTAAGAAAATTAATTCGAATTTAGTTTTCTACTTTATCGACGTAATCGGGAAATTTTTAATTGCCTTTATGTATTTAATAAAAAGCTTTTTCTAGTTTTTATTAATTATTTAAACTCATTGCTTTCAATTTATAAATAAAGGACGGTAGTTTTAATTGATATTCAGCGTTAAATTGTTATACAGGTTGTTTTATAATATATGCGCACAACTTCAGGATGTGATAGCTTGTTCAAAAATTTGAAAAACGTTTCTATCAACCCTCGAAAATGGTGCACTGAAAATGCACCATTTTCGAGATACAGGGTGTTGAAATTTAATAAAAAAAAATCGTTTTTTGCGAATATCTCCGGAACCATAAACCAATAAAGGTAACGCATTTCGCACTTTCAGCGTTTGTGCGATTGTATAATTTATTTTTAACAAGTAACTTTTAAATTTTATAAAAAAAACTACCTCCTGCCAAAATAACAATTAGCTTGTACCTGCAAAAAGTAAACTTGTATTACAAAATTAAAAATGAATTACACAAACGCTGAAATATTCGAAATGTATTACCTTTACGGAATGGCGTGCGGTAATTCGGCAGAAGCAAGAAAGACATCCTGATCGCCCAGTACCATACCATAACTTGTTTCTACGCATTCACCAACGACTATGGGAAAATGGAAGTTTTAAAAGGAATAGTGCTGATAATGGGCGGCCTATGGAAGTTGCAAATCCCCAAGTAGAAGAGGCTGTCCTCAACGAAATTGATAAAAATCTGACCACAAGTACCAGAAAAATTGCTCACAACTTAAACCTATCTCACTCGACGGTTGGAGAATTTTGAAAAGGCAACTGTTGTATCCCTACCTTATCCAAAGAGTACAAGCCTTATTGCCAAGATTGGTTTTTTGTACATGAATACAAGACAAAATAGCTCAAAATCCTGAGTTTCGAACCGAAGTTCTGTTTACCGCTGAAGCATCTTTTTCGAAGGATGGCATTTTCAATTTTCACAATAACCACATACAGTACCGCTCAGAAGTGTATGATAATTTGGTTTTTCTTACATAACTTTTCTAATACTGGACAAATCTTCACACAATTTTCAGGCAATGCATAACGAGTAAATACAATTATATTATATTCCAGAGGATACAATATATGCCAAAGTATATTTCTTTGAAAATCGATGTCAGGCCTAGAAATAACTTTTATTTTAATTTTTTGTTTCGCGTTATTTTCACGTGATATTTTCTGAAAGTTATGAAATATTATTCTTAAGAATGAGTAAAAAGAAAGGAGTTCGAGATTTGTCGGAATCGACGCAGAAGGGTGCTCGATAAGGATGCACACAGATGCAGCTCACCACGCAGATATCATCAGTATTGAAGACGTGGAAGACACTTGGTTGCTGCGTGACGAAGAAACGAAAATGATAGACCTCAAATCACTACCTGGCTGGAGAAGAGAAACGGCGCGATGCTGTCCAGAGCGAACACGCGGCTCACGACGGTGGACATTGGGGGAGAATTGTGGTGTTCTGCGCAACGCCAACCGTCTATATCGACAGTCAAGGGGAGGCTGAAGGATGCAGGACTCATTGGTCGATGTCCGGTAAAGAAACCACTCGTTTTAGCTAAGAACAGGAAGGCGCGCATGATGTAGGCGAACGCGCCCCTCAACTTCACCCGGCAGCAGTAGGAGAACGTCCCTGTGGAGCGATGAGAGCAAGTTGAACTGATGGCATATCGTGCATAGGCTATCCTTCGGGCACTCGCTTCGATTCCAAGTACCTGCTTCCCACGATGAAGCTATCGGTGGTTCCGTCATGGTGTGGGTGTGGGTGTGCTTCAGCGCTGCTATCACCGGCCGCGGCCCTCTGGTTCGCATTACGGGCACCATAGCTCGCCAGAAGTACAGGCACTGTCTGTAAGATGACATGCTTCCCTGGGCACGCAAAAACATGGATCGGTGTTGGCTGTTTCAGCAAGACAATGATCCCAAGCACACATCCAGGAATGTCCAACTGGATCGCGCAGCGTTGAGTGGCGGTAATGGACTGGTGCAGCCAGAGCCCGGATCTCAACATCTTGAAACCACTGTGGGACACTCTTTGACACAAGTTGACAGGCATTCAGACCACTTCCGCCGACGAAAAGCTCCAACAGCTGCAGGCGAAGTGGGTGAAGATCGACTCCATTGATCAATTCCATGCCCAGATGTCAGGCTGTGATCAACAGGATGGGTTACCCAACCAAGTACTAGGTTGCTCTACATGGCTGATTGCCGTTCACGATTGTTATGTTGATATTTCTTGAGTTATGATTTATTTTTGTTGACATCGCTTTATAGCGTATTTTCGTATTTTAATAAAAATAATTTTTTAATAACCCAAAGTTGAAATGGATTCTTCTACACAAGTCTACGTCCTGTGAAATGCATTGCAAAAATTATGGTGAAAAAATGGTCTGCTTTTATAAAGTTTCAAAAAAATTATGTGGGAAAAGCAAATTATCATATACTTTTGAGCGGTACTGTATGGGCAGAAGAAAATCCACATGAAATTGTAGAAGGCCATCATCAGCAACAATTTTCCATAAATGTTTGGGCTGCCATCGTCGGTGATCACATTTTTTACCGAACAGATTAAACGGTGCAGATTATCGACAACTTCTAGAAGAAGTACTGCCGGAACTGCTGGATGATGTACCGCTTCAAGTAAGACAAAACATGTACTTTATCGCCAATACTTGGACGACGAATACCCAGACCGTTGGATAGATCGAGGAAGTCCGCACAATTGGCCACCACAATCTCCCGAACTTAATTGTTTAGATTTTTTCTTTTGGAGCCATCTGAAAACCTTAGTCTACGGTACTTCAGTTGAAAATGTTGACCAATTAAGAGAGCGCATTGTTGTATCTTGCGACATAATTCGGAACACTTCGGGAATTTTTCTGCGTGTTAGACAGTCAATGCGTCGAAGAATTGCTGCGTGCTTTGAAGCTAACGGCGGACATTTCCAACATTTAATTTAACTGTGTATGATTTGTAATTGTTTTTTTTAATTATGCAATTATGAAGTTAACGTTTGCTTTTGTTACTTGTTCTAATGTTTTAGTAAAATAAAATTTTTATTTCAAAAAATTGACCATGTTATTCAACATAGAAGTTGTTTCAGTTATGACCTTCAGTACCTTTTTTGTGTAGAAAACATTGGCGGTTCAAATGGGCGTCTCAAAATCGTACTTTTTCCAGCGGCGTAGAAGTTGGGGAGAAAAACAACCACTACCCCTTAAAATCTTCACCAATTATAACTTTAAAAAAATTTTTTCTCGCACAAAACTTAACTTATTATGAGTAGAAAATGCTTACGAAATCTGTTTTCTGTACGATAAACGATTCCGGAGATATTCGCAAAAAACGAATTCAAAAATGGTTCATTTTAGAGGGTAAGTTTATAGAAACTTTTTTGAAAATTTTGGACAAGCTATCACGTCATCCTGAAGTCTTGCGCATATATTATGAAACACCCTGTATATATTTTTATTGAACTAACAGTGGAACTAACACTAGACCTAGGAACATTCGGGTTTAGCTGTACTTACGTCTTTTAAGACGGCTAAACCCAAAATGTTTATACACTCAGGTGCAAAAAAAACGTAACAAGTTAATGTTTGGTGAACACACCATTATTGAACTACCTCCATAGCTCAGACGGGAACTGAATGTGCATTCCGCAAACCTTTCTCCATTTCTTCTCCACACTCTTTTCCGCCCATCTGGAGAATGTAAGCAGAACCTGGATTTTCAAGGCCTCAAATCCCAATGTTAGTGTTCGATGGTAAATTGTAGTCTAGCCACCTGTGGCTAGACTAGACCTTCTGTGGCGCGGAAGCAATTTGGGTCCAGCTGCTGGTCTGCAAGCTTTCAACCCAGATTCCTTTAGTCTTCGGCGAATTGTTCACGCACTCACATTTGTACCTCAGACCTATCGAAGCTCATTTTTCGTCTGTACTGACGTTAAATAACGATTCCGCAAAGCTATAACACGTATAAATCTGTCATCAACAGCAGTGGTTTTTCGTTTTCCACCGCTTCCTGCCCCTCTGTTATTCCTTCCAGTTTGTGTAAAACGTTCTACCACTCCTTTAATAGTGGAGCGATGAACATGAAGAATTCTTGCAACATGTTCATAATTACGCCCATCTTCAACAAGAGCAACAGCTTTAGCGCAATTTTCAGCACTTAAAACCATGGTACTAATCTTCTGTACAAAAAAATCACTGTCCAACTGTCATTAAAATAACAATGAGCAAAGCCACCTTATTAAAAAGTAACGTATCTTAAGTAAATTGTTAGTGACAAATTCATGTCGCTCTTAAAAATGAACTAATGGTTCTTAACAAAAATTATAATTTTTAAACCATTTATACACTAAATTATGCCACAGGGTGTTTTAAAATTAAGATTCTAGAACGACGTTTCAATTAACCCTGTATACCGACTAAATGGCCAGCATTTAACAAAAGGCTGGATATTGAACATGAAAATCGACATTTTTATCTACAGTTTTCTGAAAAAATCATGAAAATTTAACGAAAAGTAAAAAAGTTATCACATTTCAAACTTTACCAAATATTAGCTTATTGCGTTTTTTTTGCACCTGAGTGTAGTTTTAGGTCTAGTTTCAGTTCTAATGCTAGTGTTAGTTCTAGTTTTAGTTGTTATGCAGCTATGTTGTATATTTTTCATTGAACAACATCCGTCTGAGTTTTAGTTCTATAAGACGGCTAAACCGAAATATTTCTAGTTCTAGGTCTAGTGTTAGTTCTAGTTTTAATTGTTATTCAGCGTTAAATTGTTATATATTTTTATTGAACTAAATGTAGAATTAACACTATACATAGAATTAGAAACATTCAGGTTTATCCATCTTAAGAGACGCTCGGCTAAACCCGAATGTTCCTAATTCTAAGTCTAGTGTTGGTTCTAATGCTAGTGCTAGTTCTAGTTTTAGTTGTTATGTTATATTATAAAGTGCAAATTTTTCATATAACGAATTTTTGGCTATAACAGACACTTCCTTAGTCGGCTATATCGAACTTATACTATACTTATAATTAATATTTACGGTATATATTAGAACTTTTAAAATTTATTATTTTTTTAATTCATTTTAAATTTAAAACAATAAAAAATTTGTGAATAAAACTTTGATTCACATATTGCGTATGATTATGTAAGAGACAATACACAATGCGCAATCCGTTGAAGGCCGCATTTCTGGAGATGAAAAGGCGTGATGTAACCTGACGAGCCTTGTACCAGATTGCGCACCCGAGGAGGGAACCCGGGGAACTGTCATAACACTCCCGAGGCGCGTTTTGACTTAATTGTAAACAAACCCGGGTGCATTCCACGCGTGCCTATACAACGCGGCCTCACTGATTTTAATTTGTTTTCGTTATAAAATCAGATATTTCAAAAGCAAACAAAAGAATTTTTACCTGTGGTTTTGGTATTTGCGGTGTAACCGGTGTCGTTCTTACTCTTTTATCCAACAATAAATCACTCGGACATCTTTCAAAAATAAGAACTCTTTCCGCTACGGAACCTCTGGTTAAGAAAGGTCGAACAGGATTTCCTGCAGTTTGCCGGAGATGTTGTCGTTGGGTACTGGTCAATTCCGGATGTGGAACTTGCTGTTCCGGTCTTCGAGTACTTCTCACACCCCATTTGGTAGCCACTTCGTGCTGCTGTTGCTGATTATTCTCTTTCTGTTTAGAATGTTGAGGAAGTTCAATATCATTCAAAACGTCTCCGTTTTTTAATGCGTTTATTAATCGTTTTTCTTCCAAATCGACCTGATCTATGTACGATTTTGAATTAACCGAAACATTATTGTAACCAATTGTTGTTGGTTTAGTATCGGAAACGGATTTTTTGACCGTTTCCGTTGTGATAATTCGATTTTTTAAGGGCCACGTTGATTGAGGCGATCTATCTGGTGGTAATGTCATTTCTATTGTATCGGCAAAACGTGGTTTTGGTGATATTTGGGGTTTTTGGCCTATTGCTGGTTTTGTTACCTGAGGCTACAAAAAGAGAAAATATGATAATATAATAATTTCAGAAAATGTTATTACTTAATAATTTATTGAATAACAACTATAACTTATAGCAGATCATATATTGAAATCTAACTTCAATCCTTTCGTTCCAATTGTTAACAATAGTTAATAACTAAGGGGTAGCTGAATACGAATATGGACTGAATTATTTGGATCAGACCATGGTTTTGTTATATTTATGGTAATGGATTTGAAATAATATACGAAACTAAGTAACATGATGCCTCCTCTGTAATTACTACCAATGTAGGTTTTTCTCTTTTTTTGCTATTTTATTCCCAAAATGATAGTTTAATGTAATAGTTGTATTTTATCAAGTCTTGTTGCATACTGAACCCAAGTTTGTTTAAGATATTATTGATTTCCTTTATTTAAGGGAAAAGACCTTTGTTTATCAATACAACTTTTAACCTGTTTTTAGAAAGGTAGATAAATATCATTTAGTTTTGATGTATCTAATGTTCAATGTCTACATAAATCCTTCATTTTAATTACAAAATGTGAACTTACCCATGTCATCGTATAAAAACACTGAAGTTCGCGTGGATGATAAAGAAATGCTTGAAACTGTCATTGTTAAATGATATACGGTAAGAGAGTAAGATAAAGTTCAGTTACCTCCTTTAAGTATATGAAAGCAGTAAACGTCTCGTGGATTCTTGCAATCAAAAGGGGTAGTCCAGGTAGACTTTTTCTCATGTTTGATTGAAGAGTTTATCAAATTAAGGGCCCTGAACCTACAATATATTCAACTTCGAAGGTTTACTTGTAGCTTAATATTATTAGCAACCCGAGGCCGATGTGAACCACTCAGAAATAAGCCAATGTGTGATCAGAACATATTATGCACTTTGCTTAAGTTCCAATAAATGCAGCAACATCAGCAGTAATATAATCAATGAGGGATGATTAGCTAGGTGTCAAACGGAGTGGCAAATCAATGATTTGATTTATTTGATGCAGATGGAAATGCTCAAGGTAGAATTCATTTCTACATTAAAATGACCCACAGAGCTTAATATTGCTTCATAATCTCGGCACAAACTCGGCAAGCGCAGCTTCTAAACGACACTAAGTCTAAATAGGATTAATACTCTTAATTAGTTCCTTATTAAGGTATCTTAGGACTTTATAAATATTGTAGGAGTTTTATTCAAGGTTTTGAAAGGATTTAGTGGGTATACTCTTTGGCAGATAGTTTGATATAATTGGATACGAAAAAATTTTAATACCAATTTATCAATTACGATACTTTTTTGTTAAAAAATAAAACTGATTTGTTAACGCTAAGATTTCGTCAATCTAAACACATAATGAGAGGCCTTATTTCCTGTCTTTGTAATATAACTATACGTTTGAGAATATCAGCCGGTTGAAGTGAATTGTGACAAATCAATCGAATTGTGATTTTTCAAAACGTCTTGTTACATTAAAAAGAGAATACTTTAATTAATAATTGGTGATATTTCCACAAGAATCCTTCAAGAAATTAATTTTATAGCGAATTTTGAAAATTATCGATGAAAATTGCAACATCAAAAATTTTATCAAACTTCAAATATTATTTTCTCAAAAACTAAAAGTTATTTTCCAAAACGGGTTGGTTCATTGGAAAGACGACAGTTTTATTAACACTTTGGGAAATTTTCATACTCATATTCCAAGAAATGGATTTTATACGAATTTTTAAAACTTAATCGGCGAAAATTGCAAAATTCGAAAAAATTGTCGATCATTTCAAAAATTTATTTCTCAAGAACTAAAAGTGATTTTTCAAAACGGCTTTTTGCATTAAAAAGAGGATACTTTAATTAATAATTGGTGATATTTCCACAAGGATCCTTCAAGAAATTAATTTTATAGCGAATTTTGAAAATTATCGATGAAAATTGCAACATCGAAAATTTTATCAAAACTTCAAATATTGTTTTCTCAAAAACTAAAAGTTATTTTTCAAAACGGGTTGGTTCATTGGAAAGAGGACACTTTTATTAACACTTTGGGAAATTTTCATACTCATATTCCAAGAAATGGATTTTATACGAATTTTTAAAACTTAATCGGCGAAAATTGCAAAATTCGAAAAAATTGTCGATCATTTCAAAAATTTATTTCTCAAGAACTAAAAGTGATTTTTCAAAACGGCTTTTTGCATTAAAAAGAGGATACTTTAATTAATAATTGGTGATATTTCCACAAGGATCCTTCAAGAAATTAATTTTATAGCGAATTTTGAAAATTATCGATGAAAATTGCAACATCGAAAATTTTATCAAAACTTCAAATATTGTTTTCTCAAAAACTAAAAGTTATTTTTCAAAACGGGTTGGTTCATTGGAAAGAGGACACTTTTATTAACACTTTGGGAAATTTTCATACTCATATTCCAAGAAATGGATTTTATACGAATTTTTAAAACTTAATCGGCGAAAATTGCAAAATTCGAAAAAATTGTCGATCATTTCAAAAATTTATTTCTCAAGAACTAAAAGTGATTTTTCAAAACGGCTTTTTGCATTAAAAAGAGGATACTTTAATTAATAATTGGTGATATTTCCACAAGGATCCTTCAAGAAATTAATTTTATAGCGAATTTTGAAGATTAGCGATGAAAATTGCAACATCGTAAATTTAATCAAAACTTCACATATTGTTTTCTCAAAAACTAAAAGCTATTTTTCAAAACGGATTGGTTCATTGGAAAGAGGACGCTCTTATTAACACTTTGGGAAATTTTCATACGCATATTCCAAGAACTGGATTTTATACTAATTTTTAAAATTTAATCTGCGAAAATTGAAAAATTCGAAAAAATTGTCGATCATTTCAAAAATTTATTTCTCAAAAACTAAAAGCGATTTTTTAAAACGGCTTTTTGAATTAAAAAGAGGATATTTTAACTAATAATTGGTGATATTTCCACAAGGATCCTTCAAGAAATTAATATTATAGCGAATTTTGAAAATTATCGATGAAAATTGCAACATCGTAAATTTTATCAAAACTTCAAATATTGCTTTCTCAAAAACTAAAAGTTATTTTTCAAAACGGATTAGTTCATTTTTAACACTTAATCGGCGAAAATTGCAAAATTCGAAAAAATTATTTCAAACGTTTATTTCTCAAGAACTGACAGTGATTTTCCAAAACGGAGTGATTTTGCCGGATATCCGTTCCACCACTAGTAGTAAGTGTATTACTAGGGTGAGTAAGAACGAAATGTTTGTTTTAAAAAAAACTTTTATTGATATGTATTGGCGATGTTTTGGATATTGATGAAGACCTTTGTAGGTGCCATTGAAACAAAGCTTTCTATTTACAAAAAAAGTTGGAGTTGGGAGCAACTACAACTTCTTACTCATCATCATATTATAGTGACATAACGCAACAACCAACTTGTTTTCAATATAAACTCATATTTGTAGCCCTTTTTTACGATCATTCAACATTTGAGAAGCATTTGGCAAATTTCATTTAAATTTGTGGAATAATAGTATTTGACGAAAGACAAATATTGTTCTGCTATTTGGCCAGACGGATTCTATTCGACCAGGAAAAAGTTATTTTCCTGAAATAAACATTTGGCTTGCGGCACCAGAATAAACTACTACATTGAGTCGCTACTCCATTGCTACAATTTATTTGAAGAAACGCGATTTTCATGTTTCAGCTAACTTAAAATCATTTTAGATAATTCAACATCGACCCAATTTCATCTTAAATTTAAATAACTTAATTAATTTTTTTAATAAAGTTATGTAATAAAAATAATTGTGTTATTTTTGGATTGAAAAGTGTTCATTTTTCGTTATTAACAGCTCTTCAAAGGCCTCACATCCAATTAAGGGTCTCGAAAGACGAACCCAACCCAACCCACATTCCGTATCGACATGTATCCATCATCGTTAACGGGTGCAATAGATCGTGTAATTAGGACAACGGAGAAAACCTTCAAAATCGAAGAAGATTACCGATTTGCATGTCGACCTAATTTTTAAAACAACCTCACGACCCATTTCTAAAGATAATCTCATTTCTTTTTTTATTTTTTTTTATTGAAAGCGTTTTAAATATGACATGGAAGGTTATAGAAGTCAAAATAAAAAGTCTTACCTGAATTGTTGGGGTCGTTGTAGTAGAAACAACAGTAGGAGTTGTAAAGTTGTTAACTTTCAGTGGAGTTCTCTTGATCACAGCCGTTGAGGAGGAGTCTGATTGCGTCGAATTCTTTTCGAACTTTTGTAGGGCGAATTTAATACTGGAAGGCATCGGTTTGTTCCTCGCCGCTAATCGAGCTTTGTCTTCGACTACGAAATTTTTTACTAGCTTCTCTAAACGATTGTTATCCATCGTTGGTGCTTGAGCTAAAATTTCTATTGAAGGTTTTGCTGATGGTTGAGGTTTTAACATTGATCTAAAAGAAATATGAAAATAAAATCTTACAATAATCTCTTTTATCTTTATTAACCCTAATTTTGTGGTATCTCCTGCAGCATGACAAGAAATTAATTCTGCGGGAGCCAAACCCCTCGATTTCCAATTTTGATAAATCGCCTCCGCTTGATCGGAAATTTGTTTAGCGATTGCCGCAATATCCTCGTCAGGATCTCTTCTTCGCGCCGTCGTTGCCATTTTTTTCCAAGAATCGTCCCTATCCGGAGTATCCCGTGTTTCACATGAAGATGAAGACGTCTTCAGCCGACCCGAGATTCCTTCCTGTCCAGTTTCATCCACATCCATTCCATCATTTTCATTATGACTTTATTACAAGAGAGACTTCTGTAAAAAAAAAATAGACAGTGACAGAATTAATTTATCAAAAATGACAACAATATTAAAAATTAATCATAAAAAGCACTAAAAGTTGATGCATTTTTAAATAAGGAGGTAATCAATCATAGTTATGTGATGTCCTGCCAACACCTTTCTGGACGAGGGAGAGTTTAAGGGTGGTTTTTAGAGGGGTCGTAAATTACAATATCCGGTTTAGTTAGCTCCTTCTTCCCCTTTTACGATCGATAGTTCGGTTGGATTGAAAATGGAATGGTGGAGATAAAAAATACATCGTAATATTTAAAAAAAAACTTGTACAGATTAGACTAATACAAAATGTTTTTCTGGAAAACTCTTCGTTTAGAAAACCTGTAAATGATTCCTTTGTAGATTGCGCCCTCAATAAATAAGGCGTGATAGTTTTTTGGCAAGCTCATACAAAATTTATAAATAGAGCTTGCACTGAGTCTAAACGCGGCATCTTAAACCATCACGCTTTAAACCGGTCACCAAATCATCATTATCCACTTTGATATTTAAATTTTCTTTCAATCTGTTGTTTTGAAAACTTCGATAAACAATAATTTCGATAATTGATTAAATTTCTTTCCAAGTTATTATTATGAAAATGAGTACGAAGCCATAAATGGTTACGGGTTACGGTCACGCGCGCGAATTAATCGAAAAATAGTGGGTTATGGAAATGAATCTATGGCCTTGATTTGTTTGGAGTATGGTTTTTATAGTGTGGGTGGAAGTAAGTAGTAACAGTGGCACCATTAAAAAAAAACATTCTTTGAAATCGTGTGCAGGAAGAATTAATGTTCGTATATTTAAAACAGATTCGATTAAAAATTCTAAAGCGTCGTACGAATACCGTTTTACAGTTTTAAAGGCTACCGTAGAATAAATTAAGGCGGAGGAAGAAAAAAAATTACCAAGAAGAATGTTGCAAACGTGGAATAGATCGCCATAAACGATTTACTATTTAAATTGAAAAGAGGTTCGTTTTATTTTTATTTTCTTAGAAAGTTATTTAGTGTATAAACGAACGGTTTAAAATAAACATTATTATTTAAACCAACTACGATTTACCATTAAAGTTGCAAATCTAAACAACGACCACAACCTATTTAGTTTCACGGCCAATATGAAAGTTTTTTTTCTTATACGAGGTTGAACTTTTACTTAAAAGAAAATTTTTTTATACGATAGAATTTCACATGCAATAAAAAACGAGTTGTTGATACAACACGTTATTTAACAAGAAGATATTAAAGGATTTTCATGATATGTATATTAATATTACTAGATTTATACCAACAAGTTTAATCTTTATGCCTCCTTGGTGCTTGAAAACTGTTACAACACCTGGTTTAATGGGATGATTGTCGATTGGCTAGATCATTGTTTTCCAACCTTTTTCAACTTCCGAACCCCTTATAAATCAAAAAAATTGACGAACCCCTTGTGTAATCAGACAAGATAATCGATACAACACTCTTAATTCATACCAAAAAATAAAAACATAATCATAAAAAATCTAAACACAAACTTTACATTAATAAAGACTAAAATAATAGATACAAGAAAATCAAAACACAAAATTGACACAACGCTCTTAATGAGATACTTGCGCCTGTTTGATATAACACAGAACTTCAAAGTTAGGTTCAATGTCTGACAGTTTCAGTCTTAAATCAGGTTCTGCATTTAATCTGTTTCTGTATTTATCTTTCAAGTAAGTAAATGTAGAAAATCCTTTCTCACATAGATATGTTGTGCAAAAAGGTAATAAAACTTTGATAGCATTTTCTGACAAAATACGTATTCATTTCCAATACTGAGCCAAAACTCTATTAAAGAGTGGCCTTTAAAAATCGCTTTTAAGGAGCTATCACAGGAAAACTCAATAAGTTTAGGTCTCCAAATTTAGATCTTTTTGGAAAGGACTACATATCCAATTATTTGTTAGAGATATAGTGCGTCTATTAGAGAAGTATTTGTCAAAAGTTAATTGAAGATATTTGAGATGTTCACATATATTTGTTTTAATGTTTTCATCAAGTTTAACTTAATTTTCGGTTAAAAAGCTGCTGAGATGTTGGATTCAAAAGATAAACTTTTTAGCATGGATTCAATTCTATCATGCACACGTGATGATGGTGACACCTGCGCCTTGCAGTGATAAATTTAATTCATATAATTTACAAAATATATCAGCTAAATATGCAAGCTTTTGCAGCCAAAGAATGTTAGATAGACAAGAAGATAAATGAAATGGATGGTCAGTAAGAAATGCTTGAACTTCAGATTTTAACTCAAACAAGCATGTCAAAACTTCGCCACGGGAAAGCCATCTAACTTCCGTGTGAAGTAATAAAGAAATGTTTAAAGGCTTCCAAAGTCTTCACAAAGCGCATGAAATAGACGGGAATTACTAGATCGCGATTTTATAAAGTTTACAATGTTTACATGCCAATTCTTGTCTATGCATATAGCAATGTGTTCATTCAATTCTTTCGTTGAAATTCTTTACCCGTGCCACAAAACCAGAACATTCTCCAGTCATTGATTTTGCACCATCTGTGCATACACCCACATAATAAGACCACGTTATTAAATTTTTTCTCAAAATAACTATTAACCATATGACATATTGCTTCTCTAGTTGTATAAGTTTTTAAAGGTTTTGCAAAAAGCACATCTTCCTGAATGGAACTCTCAAAAGTGTATCTAACATACACAAGTAATATTGCAGCGTTTGTTACATCGGTCGACTCGTCAAGCTGGATCGCAAAATAATTCAATTTAATTCTTTTCAAAAGCTCATTCTTTACATTACTTGCCATATCATCAATTCTACACAAATAAAACAGTATCTATTATTTGATTAAGAAACTAGGTCAAATTTTTTTGATGCCTTTTCTGCAAGTATACACTTTTCAATATGTTTTGCACATGGTCCAATTAAATTTTCAGCAATTGTATGTGTCTGTCCAGATTTTGCAATTCTATAGCTTACTCGAAATGATGCCTCAAGCGCCATTTTACTATCTTCCTTTGAAGCTGTCAGAAAAAAAGATACACTACTCTTTCTATAGTTAGCCAATTGTCTTCTAAAATACTCGACAGGTTTGGTAATTCGGATGTTTGGTTTCAAGGTGTCGACGAAGAAGTGATGGTTTTTAAGTTGCTGTTAGCAAACACATGATTGCAAATTACACATAGCGGCTGATTCTTCCCCAGTAAATAAAAACCCCTTTGAAAAATAGTCGCTGTCATATTTTCGCCTTTTTCTTTTCTTTTCACCAGTTTCATCATTTTTTTTTGTATTTAGTCAGCTGAAATGGTAGCTCACTACAGCTCTCAGTATTATCGGCCTTTTTTGTTCCGAAATCGGGTGTGACGATAAAGATTGGACAATTGACTGCTTGTCCAATATTTTGTTGAAGTCAACTAAACTACCCGTTTTTAGCCACCGATCCATATTAAAATTTCGGAATAATAATTATTAAAAACTGTGTGCGGTACCCGGAGATATGGTTTAATAAATATTGCAGGCACAATACGAGAGATGACATTAGTTTGATATTAAAGGTATTACAGTTAATAATTTTTCTGGTAACAATACATTTTTTAATTAAAGTAAAAGGTGATACCACTACTTCTATAAAATTCCGCCATTATAATAATATTATTGCGAACTGGGCTAGATCATCTATTTAGGAAATTGATAATGTATTTTTATTTTTGTGTAATTTCTTGGAGAGCGAACTTCTTCTTCTTGTTCTGTATAGGTCATATATATGGTCTGTTTAGTTTGTCTGGTTTTGCCTCCGTCTTATGTCCTGGGACGTAGATTGCCAACTGTTCCGCTATCTTTTTGGTGGTCTGCCATGTGTTCTGGTGCTTGGGGGGTTGTATATCAAGACAGCCTTGGGCAATCTGCTATTTGGCATTCTGTTTACATGATCATTCCACGCCCTTTTCTGTTGTCTGTCCTATCTGATAATATCCTGTATCCATTATTATTATTCCCAATATGGATCTTCATGTTTTCATCTTAGCTGTTCTTAGTAGACTCTTGTTTTGTTTGTCTCCTATCACGTCTCATATATCCTAACTTTGCTGTCGATTCTTACGTATTTGTTAGACCAAACAATATCTCTTAAGACGATATTGTTGTTGCCTTATTAGTTTGTAATCTTAGATCTTTAACAAGATCATTGTAGCTGGACATTTGTACGGCCAGCAATGACCTCCTTGATGAGATTGTTTTCAACGACCAATTTGCACTTTATTGGCTCCTTTGCTATCACCATGCATTTGGTTTTATCAGTAGAGACCAGCATGTTCAGTTCTTTGCTCATTTGGTAAAACTTGTAAAGTTGTTTTTGTATACAATATAATTTTGTCATACAATTCATGACTTTAGCCTCTTATTTCTGCATTATGCCTATATCAAGCATCGATCATGTTTTCAAGCAAACAATTTCGTATAAAGTTTACACTAAAACTACATCTAGGAATGTATCACAGCTTTGGAGTCTACATTAAACCTGTAATATGATTTATGAGTTGATAGATATATTAAGTATCTATCAAACCTAATTTCAATTTTTATCATGGCTGCATCAAGTATCTCTACATAATCGCTGTATCAAATTCACGTCCTGTTTCTATCAAATCAAGTCTCCACTAAAACTACATCATATCCCTATCGGATCTATACTAGGACTGCTTCCAATAGCTAATTAATTCTAAATATTATAAACTCTCCTTCATATTCCTTATTAAATTTGCAACGATACGACTAAATTTGAGTCCGTTTGTCTTCGAGCTGCTTGGATATCTAAGAGTAATTGGTACAGATATTATGCTGACAAGATGGCGTGTATTAATGTCAAATGGCTTCTAATGAATACGACTAAATGTAACCCAGCATTGACTTACTGCAGTGTTTTGATTCATGTTGTACTGAAAATCAATTAGTATTCAAATCA